GTACAATGTCAAAGGAATTAAGTCTTTGTCAGAAACTCTGATTTTCTAATCTTTGCATCCCAATATGACGTAGACCTTCAATATTTCAAAATTATAAACATGAACTATAAATTGAATTGAATTGAATTTGTGACTTAATTCTTTGTTCAGAATCAATGCATTAGTTTGGATTTTACAAACACGAGGGCTTGTTTGGTGTGATATAATGTCATCCAACTAGCCTTCTTTCTTTTACTCACAAGAAACTAATAACTTGCATAAAAGTTTAATTTTCCAATCCTACATCTTTGCAACCCAGTGTCGTAGACCTTTGATATGTCAAATTATGAATTATGCTAGAAAATATAGTTTTTAACGTGTGCATAGGAAAGGTATAAATACATTTAAATTTCCTTGAAGCTTTAAATTTATTTCATTAATCAATGCAACTTTACAGACAGGTGTTAAAAATTCAAATTCAACTACTTTGACCGTTTCTAGGAATTTTTTTTTCAAAAGTGTAATGAGTTTTAATTCAAACAATTTCAAGGTTCCAGCTAAAAGAAAATAACATTATTGTCCTAATATCAAATGTTCTGGTAAGAAAAATATTCTGATTAGTTTGTCCAGTTCTATTTATGTTGTGATTCAGTCTGTACAGTATACTGTTATGAATGTTTTGTATTACCAAGTCATAAAATAAAAAAATTAAATTTTCTTAACAACAGGTTTATTTTTAGCTTGTTGATTGGGTTTTATTTTTACAACAGGATTAACCTTCATCATGTATTCTCCAGACTTTTAGAAATTTTTGATAATGTTAAAACAAACAAATTATTTCGTTAATGTTTACAGTAAGGCATAACTATAAAAAGGATTATTGATTACGTCTGGGTTTAAAACATATAGAGTTTAATTTTTGTCCTTCAATTTTTTTTGTCTTTATAACGTTTTCAGTTATTTATTATTAATCACAAGAAATTTGTATGTTCATCGAATTTTCCAATGACAGATAACAAAGATCAAAAACTTTTTTAAAATTGTCAGAAGTTGGCTTTAGTTCGATTTTCCAGAAATTTATATTTTCTTCGCATTGGCTTTTTTTGTTAGACGCTCTAGCAAAATAGCAACAAAATAAAAGCCTAAATCTTCAATTTAATCCGTCAATTCAAATTATTGCATTCAAATGTGATGACTATTTTTATAGAAAGAGATTCAATTTATCTGTTACAAAAAGGGACCTAAGCTTGGTTTCAAAATCGACCCACCCCAATGTCCTTCTTTTTGGCACAAGTAACTTTTATTTATATCAAAAACTTCAACTAAAAGATACACCAAAGATATCTCTAACACAATTTTTCAGTTTGGGAAAAGTAGACAAAAACTGAGGGAAATGGGAAACCTTCGGGCTTTTTTACATTTTTCACAATAAATTAGTCAAATGTTTAGTATTTGATGTTTTTCATATATAATTTCATAATATCAGCAACTTTTGCAGTCAACGCAGCGGTTGACTATGTACATTTAATAACGCTGCCTTATTGTTTTTTCGTGTTATCTTTGACCTTTGCTCTGGGAAGGGGAACATTTCCAGCTTTAATACGCTCGTTGTTTTTTTTATCGTTTTAAAGCTTTATATGTTTGGAGAGAAAAAAAAATTGGGAGGATATACATTTTTTTTGCAAGAAAGCATACGTTTAAACGTGGAAAAATTATTTTTACAACGTACACTTTAAAATATATCTAACATTTAGTTGAAAGGATGATATATCGATTGTATAACAAAAATCATTTCAAAATAATAAACATTCTGTCAGAATTTCTCCTAATTATTTAGCGCATTATTTGACATAACTTTCTTTGCTATCAAAAAAACTAAACTCAAATCTTTTAAGTCAGACTTCAAATATACTGTTGACACAATTTCAAGTAAAGTATATTTAAATACTTGCAATCCATATTCACAACGGTACCCTTGAGACCTTTCTGACCAACTAAAAGAAGATGCTTAAACGGTGCCGATGTGAACATTATAAAGATACTTGAAAATGTATGAATTTGATTCTCAAGGATGTCAAAACTTAAATAAAAAAACATCAAATGTTTTTTTATTTTCTTCAAAACATGCCTGACAATAAACAAATTTTCGTCTGCTCAACTTTTTTTTGTAATTCACAGAAATATTTTTTATTAAAAAGATAGTTAAATATACAGAGTTTGTGAGCTTGTGAGCTAACATAGATCATGCTGTTCATATCAAGTTCGTTTTAAATTCGGGGTTTTAAGATTTTCTATTAATTATTATTTTTAATCATGATATATGCCTGGGCAACGCCGGGCACTCCAACTGGTTGTTTGTACACTGTTACCCACAAAGCATATCTAAGAAAATAGACAGTATAAATTTTGTATAGTCGTCTCTGAAGTCTGTTTGGGTATCCCTTATATATATATTGAAGAATTCTCTATATTTTGTATAGTTGCACCTTGTATGATATTATTGTATAGCGTGCCTTTATCAGTTCATGCTGCAAAATTTCTACGGACTATATTTATATCAGTCGCGCATTCACAGTGCACAGGGAACAAGTGGAGTGTGCTCAAGTGTTTTATTACATTATTTATTAAAGATACGGGGTTACCCACAAAGGATGAGACTTTAATGACAAGCTACAAGTCTACAAATATTATAATGAACTTGGCTGTCTGCCTTTCATATAACATATATTGATAGTGCAGTATTAAATAGAATAGTTTAGCATACTAAGGGGCTTCTTTAGGCATGATAATTATATGAAAGGAGAAAAAGGTAAAAAGTGAGATATTTAGGGTGAAAAACGGGGAATGAGACATTACAGGGTTAAAAGTGTGAGTTAAGAAACAGTGTCAACTAGAAAACATTAGAATCGGAAGACGACTTTAAAAAGTCCAATGAGCATGAGACACAAAAATTGTGCAGCGTAAATTAGTGATTTAAGTGTCTAGTAATAAACTTATTTGCTTTGTAACAACATCAAATAAACTTAATCATTGCTATAATGTCGTCATCCTATTCCAATGTTTTCTGAGCTTCTTAGGCTGGTTAAAACATATATAGTGGGGAGACATAAAAGAGTAACAAGTATCTATATCGAATAACGGGTTTATATAGTAGAGGCAGTATAAATAGGCCTAGATTTTATTTAGGAAAATAAGGTTAAAGTTGTTGAATTCATGAAATATATCTGCATAATTAAGATTAGAGTAGCGAGGGTACAATGTGAGGTATGGAAGGGTTAGAAGTATTAATTGTGACGTCAATATTATTACCGGTTTGGAATCCTTGACGCGGCTCACGGAGAGGGGGGAGCAGGGGGACCCCCCCTCCCAGGAAAGCTTTACATCGTACAATGCATAGTTCCCTATAGTTGAATTCGGAATACATTGTGAAATGAATTCTGCTTTTCAAATATTTACAAAAAGATTTTTTATCCTTTCTTTGATTTTTTTTTTGATTTCATATTTTTGTAGCAAACTTATGAAATTGGAATTTTTGAACTTCTTGGATTTGTTAAAGTTACAGAAAATCAATCAAACTGTCTATGTCATCTGTTAGTGTTATTCAAATAAATGATAAATTTACTATCAACAATTTTATATCTATTCGAATAGATAATTTTCAACAGTGTTAATTTCTAGAAGAGTGATTGATTTTTAATTTTAATTTTTAGAGTCTTCCTTTTCTAGAAATATTTTTCCCATGCTCTGAAAGGGACTGAATGTCAATTCATAATTGATAAAATAAACCTTCTATTTAACCCTATTCCTGCTGGGGGGGGGGGGTTCAATTTGACCCCCCCCCCTGTAGTTTTGTTTTACATAACTCAAAAAGTATTGGTCTGATGCTGTTGAAATTTTCTGACTTTTCCTACATACCCAAAGCCCTCCCTTTAGGCCTAAAACCGGGCTTCAATACTAACTGCCTGAGTCCTCAGGCACACTGCTTGAATGACTACTTTTTCCTGTAGCAAACTAAATCTTGGTTTTGACCCACCAAAATTTTTCGCAAACAACCTGTCAAAGGAAATTTGCACATTTTTAGTTTTTCTTAATTAAAAATCAAGTTAATTAAAATTTTGCAACAATTTTTGCATATTTGAAATGGCATGGTCAAGGGCTTTTCAAAAATGTATAATTTTTCATTTTTTGGACAAATTTTTTTTTGCAAACATTTTTACTATAAAACTGGATTTTGCGATAAAAAATTCAATTTTTGCAAATTTGCAAATTTTTTTTGCAGATTCTAAAAGTAGAGCACAAGAGCTTTCCAATGATGTATCATTTGTCATATTTGGACATCAAATATGGGATTTAGAGGGGGGGTCAAATTGACCCCCCCCCAGCATATCCTGGTTTTCAAGTACCCCAGCAGAGATAGGGTTAATATGAAGGGTGTGCCGATAATATCAGCAAACTTTGTTTTTTTTTAATTGACGAACAATGGTAACAATGAAGTTTCTTGAAAGTTCATGTCCATTATTTCGTGACTAATAGAATAAAAAATAATTTTTGTCTACTGGTTGAGAAACGGTTACCAAATAGGACGTAAAATGGCGTTAAAAAAGCCTTCTGAAATTGTAAATTTTCTCATTTATAATATGTCAATGCGCTTTGTAGATATTAAATAAGAAATACTAAAACTGGAAAAGAAAATTCTTATTGGAGGTTTTAAAAACGTCTACAAAATCATATCCTGTAACAAAGTAAAAATATTCTAAACTTCAATTGTTTTTTTTTTATTCGTTTTTTGTAGACTTTAGATAAAAATTTAAAAGGATGAAAATATTAGATGCCCTAATTTGTTAATTTTAGTTTTTTTACAAATGATAATGATAGTAAAAATTATAAAATTTTATAGTAAAAACTCTTTTTAAAATATTATTTTTTAAATTTTTTTAAATGACATATTAGAAAAATTTGTGTTTGTTTTATTTAATATGAAGCTGTAACAACTTTCTTTAATTCTTTAATTCTTCATTCAGAGCTCGAGATGGAAGAAGTTGAGTAATATGGTAAAATGGACGCCATTCATACAAACTTACCGGAAACGGAAATATCCTTGGGTTCAGCTCGCTGGCCACTCGGGTAGCTTTATTCGGGGCTCCCAGGTAGATCATTCATTCTTTAGGGGCTCACAGGTAGATCATACATTCTTCAGGGGCTCACAGGTAGATCAGTCATTCTTTAGGGGCTTACAGGTACATCATACATTCTTCAAGCCTCACAGGTAGATCATACATTCTTTAGGGGCACACAGGTAGTTTATTAATTCTTTAGGGGCTTACAGGTAGATCTTTCATTCTTTAGGGGCTCACAGGTAGATCATTAATTCTTTAAGAGCTCGCATGTAGATCATTAATTCTTTAAGGGCTCACAGGTAGAATATTAATTCTTTTAGAGGCTTACAGGTGGATCATTCATTCTTTGGGGGCTCACATGTAGATCATGTATTCTTTAGGGGGTCAGAGGTAGATCATTAGTTCTTTAGAAGCTCACAGGTAGATCATTCATTCTTTAGGGGCTCACAGGTAGATCATTTATTCTTTAGGGGCTCACAGGTAGATAATTTATTCTTTGGACTCAAAGGTAGATCATTCATTCTTTAGGGGCTCACAGGTAGGTCATTCATTCTTTAGGGGCTCACATGTAGACCATTCATTGTTTAGGGCTTACAAGTAGAACATTTATTCTTTAGGGGTCACAGGTAGATCATTCATTCTTTAGTGGCTTACAGGTAGATCATTCATTCTTTAGGGGATCACATGTAGACCATTCATTCTTTAGGGGTCACAGGTAGATCATTCATTCTTTAGTGGCTCACAGGTAGATCATTCATTCTTTAGTGGCTCACAGGTAGATCATTTATTCTTTAGGGGTCACAGGTAGATAATTTATTCTTTGGGCTCAAAGGTAGATCATTCATTCTAGGGGCTCATCGGTAGATCATTAATTCTTTAAGGGGTCACAGGTAGATCATTCATTCTTTAGGGGCTCACAGGTAGATCATTCATTCTTTAGGGGCTCACAGGTAGATCATTCATTCTTTAGGGGCTCACAGGTAGATCATTATTCATTAGGGGCTCACAGTCACAGGTAGATCATTCAGTCTTTAGGGGCTCACAGTCACAGGTAGATCATTCAGTCTTTAGGGGCTCACAGTCACAGGGAGATCATTCATTCTTTAGGGGATCACAAGTAGATCATTCATTCTTTAGTGGCTCACATGTAGATTATTAATTTATTTAGTCGGGGCCCACAGGTAGATTATTTATTCAATGAGTCGGGACTCACATGATGATTATTCATTTATTAATTGGACCTCATAGCCTAACAGGTATATAATTCATTTATTCATTTTTTTTATTTATCTATATTCTTGTTATCCATATTCTTGCTATCCTTATTCTTGTATCCATAACCTCATATGTGTATCCTGTATTCCTTTTTCATAAAGTATTGTCTGAAATGAAATGAAATTAAGCTGTATCTAATTGTTAGATAAGAACAAAGTCGTGAATAAAGCCCTCCTTTCAACCCATAGTTATAAATCGGGGCGGGGTATTCATACCACGTTTATATAAGTACACAGGGTGTACCAATTAGGCACTGGCAGTATAATTGATCCGTTACTTGAAACATAAATTAGTTTTTTCGGTTTTCATTTTACATTGCGCAAAATTTTAACTCTGACAGTAGATAAGGTATTATTAACCATTCAATGTTAGTTAAAATTTTATTCGTTCTTTTTCTTCTGTCTAGTCTAAATTTTGCATTGTGTAATAAAATAAAACTCCTAAAAATCGCTTAAATTAAGGAATAAAATGAGCTGCCCCGAATTCTGCACCAAACCAACCTAGACGTTGCAGTAGCAGTATTGCTAAATGTCAAGTCGTGGTTATAAAGATATTACATTATCATTTATAAGACGATGGGCGTTGGGCAAAATTACTCTGTCACACTTTAATCTTATCTTGTTTTACACACCGACCGCCCTTGCAAAAAGGATAGCAAGCTAATTGTAAAATGAACCCCCCCCCATGCTCCTACCCTCCCTTCCTAAAGTCACAGAGAAGATGATAGAATACAATATTTTATATGTTAAGGGAACAGTGTTAAAGAAATGTGGAGAACAAGAGGAACAATGCTACAGGCAGACATATATTTAAATATAAACATTTTTAGGAATACCATCTCTTAATCCATATAGGTTGTCAAGTAAATAACCCCTCTTTTGCCCCTCCAGACATTTATGTGAATATATTTAAAAGAAAATAAATAAAACATAAGCTCTAAAAGTAAGTCCCCTACCACACAAAAAAGTTGTAAGAAAATTGCCTCTAGTCTCAATTGAGTTTTGAAAATAATTAGCTTTTACCACCTCACGTAGGTTCATGAAGCTCTACCGATTATCACCTTTAACGATCAGTTTTCAACTTTACTTGCTTGTTTTTCTTAATTCCATATTAAAAACCGTAACTTTTAAATATGTAGAAAGTGATTTGCATAAATCGTATTAATTTTTGTCCCTGATTAAATTAAAAAATTTAATATTGTCCGAACCTATAGATTACTCATGGAAGACTCATTATCACCAGTTGTTCCCACGTATTACAGGTTAATTTTTATGCATTCTACTATTTCTGTTTTCTCCCAATGCTAAAAAAAATTACAAAGAAAAAATCATTTCTTAAATAGATTTCATCAATTTTTACTCAAATCTATCTCACTTATTTTTAATCGAATCTAATTCTATTTTTCAATTTCTAAAGTTTTTCAAACTGAGGCTTAATTCATAGTTTAAAATATCATTATTAATAAGTTATCACATGGGGTTCATTACACTAGCTACAAGGTTTTACTAAAATAAATCATGGTAACAGGTCTTACTTTCAATTTTGTATATTTATTAAAGTGTACAATTTTTTAGAAGTGTAATGAAGGATGGAAGAAAGTATTTAGAACTGTCCTGTTGTCTCTCTGAGTTTAATTCCCCGTGTATTATGGATATAAAGATGGGAGTGAGGACTTTCCTCTCAGGAGAAACCACAAAATTGGGGGCAAATGTGTTAGTGGAATTTGAAAATGTTGTTTTAATTAGGGGCAACAAATTATTTTGGGATCGAGAAAATCAGCTATTTTGGGAATTATATGGACCCCTGTTAAAAAAATGTAAAAAGGATTAAAAAATTAACGTAACAACACATTCGTTTTGGGTCGTTTTTGGGTCTTTTTATTTTGCATAGATCTTTTGTTAATGTCAAAGTTTGAAGAACGGCAAATGTTTTGAATAAAAAAAATTATCCTGATATAAAATAAAACTATTCATCACGTGATGTCTTCAAATTTGAATTAAATGTTAATTTTAATAAAAAATCTCTGACTGGATAAAATATTTGTGATATTATTTAACCCTATTCCGACTGACGTCTTGATTACCCAAAATAGACTGGGGGGAGGCACGTTGACCCCCCCCTCTTTTTCCTGATAGTGATACAAATCTATAATATGTGATACATTTTTGGAAAGCCTTACAATTTGAAAGAATTTTGATATTAATTGCAAAATCGAGTTTTTTAGCGAAAAATGTGCAAAACAAAAGGTGTGTGAAATATGATAAGTAATCTTATCTGAAAAGCCCTTGACCCAGCAAATTCAAATATGCTAAATATTTGCAAAACTTTCAAAAGCTAAAGAAAAACAAAAATTTTTAATAGTGGCGTCTGTGCAAAAATCTACGCAAAATATCTTTGCAAAGATTGTGCAATCTGCTTCTTTGTGTTGTAGGCTTTCCAAGGAGCTATAAAATGTTAAAATCCAATATCTCGAAGTAGGTCTAAATTTGGATTTAGTCTGGTAAAGGTAAAATAAGGCATCCGGTCGGTATGCCTGACGACTCAGGCAGTAGGTATAAAAACCCAGATTTTAGCCCAAAGTGAGGAGCATGTAATAGTTAGAAAAGTCCAAAAATTGAACATCCTCGGACCAATACTTTTTGAGTTATCGCAAAAAAACGACAGGGGGAGGGGTCACCGTGACCTTCCTCATTCGGAATAGGGTTAAGATAAATTAAGCTTAAATTTCAAAGTCATGAATAAGTCATGTATAACTGTTTTCTTTCTTTTTCCTGTAAAATTCTGTTAATTTGAAATAATTATTTAATTAACATACATTTCTATTTTCAAAGAAATTGAATCCATACAGAAAATACTGATATTTCAAATATTTGACACATCCCCATTAAACAACCGTGAGCACTCCCTTAAATTATTGTCTGGGATTGTTTAGGAAGGATCTGTATGAGAAGATGGTTGGAGAAGATCCGTCCGCCCCGACCCCAGTAGAACAGATAGAAGGAGCTATTAGTAAATATAGGTAAACCATCTGTCCGCCCCAGATAGGAGCTATTAGTAAATATAGGTAAACCATCTGTCCGCCCCGACCCCAGATAGAAGGAGCTATTAGTAAATATAGGTAAACCATCTGTCCGCCCCGACCCCACTAGAACAGATAGAAGGAGCTATTAGTAAATATAAGTAAACCATCTGTCCGCCCCGACCCCACTAGAACAGATAGAAGGAGCTATTAGTAAATATAGGTAAACCATCTGTCCGCCCCGACCCCACTAGAACAGATAGAAGGAGCTACTAGTAAATATAGGTAAACCATTTACATTTAGAAGGGTGGTGGACATTTCATAAATAGCTTTTTCAATTTTTTTTTATGGACAAGACATTTCATAAATAATTCATCTTTATTATTGGACATATATGGATAGATCATTTCATTGAAATAGTGTATTTTATATGTAGATAAAAACGTTACATAGCTAGAGGACATTTTTATAGAAAAGACACTCCATGAACACAGGACAGGGTATTTATAAGAGACGACATTTCAAAGATTGGATATTAATCATCAGAAAATTTACAAATAGTGAAAATCACTTTTCTTGGGTCTACGAAAATTCATATTTGTCCATAAAATCTGTGAAATTTCTAACATCTGTGATTTTTCTATTAACACACAAACATTTCAGTGCTTTATGAAATATTAGAAAGAGCGAATGAAATGAAAACTTTCCCACAAAAGCTTGGCTGATACATTGTTAAAAATTAATAGGACAAAAAAAGTTTTTGGAGGACTTAAAAAAAAACAAAGAAAAGTATTAAAATTTTTTAAAAACAGAGCTAGATTATTTATTATAAAATCGAATATGTTTAAAAAAATGTAAGATCTATTAATAAAGAAACTTTTTTTTAGATATCTTGATTGGAGGGACTGTATATCTTCCTCACGTGAATATGGTTTTAGGTGATAATAGATTCGAATCTTAATCAATTTTTACAGTTCAATTTTTGATGTCAGAAAATATACACACCCTTGAGAAAAGTAAACATATATATTTACTGTAGTCTGTCGAGCAATAAATGTAATGTGTTGATAGCTGCAGATAACAATGTTTTCATAAGCTATCACCGCTTCACAGAGTGAGTGCAGGGGTGTGAAGCATGTATTTTATTTTCAAAATTTGTTTTAAAAATTAGAAACAGAAATTTTACCTTTGTTTTAAAATTCAAAAGTTGAATTTTACTACTTTTTATCTGAAGGAATTTTTTAAATGACATTTTTCTTTTGTGATTCCCACTCCTAATAGTGACCTTATTCGTCAAAATGTAACACACCTTGAAAGCGCTGTATTATATACTTGTTGACAGATAACAGCAACACGCTAGACAAATCCGGATAATAGGCCGGTTAGGATTTTGAAAGGGGTGTTTATTATCCCCAGACGATTCTTTCCCGATGGCCGAACAATACACACACAACAGAGTAACCCCGTCACAGAAATTCGATAACAAAATCTTTATTTCCTAAAAAATAACATAAATTATTTATAAATTTTATAAATATTCCAATATAAAAAAATTCTTTGCAGAGTAGAAGCCACAACCCTAAACGGGAAATCCTCCAAAGATTTTAAATCAATTCGAACTGAATCACAGGTTGGTCTATTTTTAAAGCAAAAAAAAAAATTTTAATCAATTTTAATTTAATTTTTCAGATTGAAGCCATTTTGTGCCAGTTTGCGGGAAATAAGGAAACCAATACAACGAGAATAACTTACAAATCTTATTATTAATGTAACAATTTGTACCAATCTTGATTATTTATTTTATGATTAAGTTGATTGGTTTGTAATTCAGACTACGATTGAAAAGTACCTGGAGAGATTATTAACAATTAAATCTCTATGTCTAAGATCTAGTTTCTTCAATAGCCACGAGGTATGTTCGCAGTCTTATTTAAAGGGACAGATGTTTTTTCCATATTTTTTATTTTGTTAAAGAGTGACTGTTATTTCGTCTGTTGTACGATTCATAATAATTTTCAAGTAAAAAAGAACGATTGACCTTTCAATTATTTTTCACTCAAAGAGTCGTGGATTTCTACAACAAAAAACAAGCAAAATAACGAGAATGAAAAAAATGACAAAATCTAGATCTTCGTTTCAATCTCAGATTATGAATTATAATGAATCGTGAACGCGATTAAATTTTGGGGAACAAACCATTTTTAACTATTTATATTTTTAAATTTAAGTAGAGTTGTAAAAAATTGGTTGCATACCTAAATTTAGAATAGTTACCTTTTTATAACAAAAATTTAAATACTAAACCCCAACAGATAAACTAATTTTAAATTTATTCCACATTTTTTTCGATGTTTTTTTCTCGACTATTTAAAAACCCTTTGTTTCAGCTGATAGGTTCCTCTCTGCTATTAATTCATGATGGGGACAATGCCTCCATCTGGATGATTGATTTTGAGAAAAGCACCCCTATGCCTCCTGATGTGCCTATTCTCCATACAGTACCATGGGTTAGTAAATCTCCTTAAAGGGTAGTTTGGCTTAATTTCAAAAAAACCAATCTCGAACCCAACAGTACCTTCAAACCTTTTCCAGAGCAATTAAGGGATGATAATATCCTCGGTTTTTCCATCTAAAGATTGATCATTTCTAATTGTGGTTTTGCCGTAAATTTATATTTCCTTATAGGTAATCAAATTGTTATTTAAGATATTTAAATTTAGGAGGAGAATACACGAGAGGATGGCTACCTGATTGGATTAGAATCATTAATAAATATATTCTCGAATCTTCTGGAAAACTCAGATTGAGTTCTCTGGCCTATAGAAATACATAAAGACACGTGACTCCTGCCCGAAATCAAGTCCATGAATTCAAAAAGAAAATAGTTTTTTCTTTGTCAAAATATTCTTTTTGTAATTTTTAGACTATTCGTTAGAGCGTTTGCTTAAAATGATTTATATTTCTCTTCACTAGTCATTCATCTAAATTGTAAACATTTAAACTTTGTTTTTATATTCATACCTTTAAACTGGGTTCTGCACGATTCTGAAATATGGGGACAAAATCAATAGCTTACATGGCGAACTCGATTAAATCTTTAAATGAGAAAAAAAACTATGTCTACACAATTTTCAATCCCAATAACAATCCTAAAAGTACAATTTGATCATGAAAAAGTTTTAATCTAAATGAAGTACATTAACAATCTGTTGTGTCTGTCATATTTTATAGAGTTTGCTAGGAATAAGATAGTTTTCTGAAACAAATATTTAGATATTCTACAATCAATTACTTAAAATGGAAAAATACATTATTGAGATTTTTTCATGCTTTCAAAAGTCTTTAAAATATTTTCTTTTTCTATTTTAAATTGGTAAATTTTCATAAGTTTTGAATCCTGCAAATTGGATTAATTATTCGGAAAATCGAAATGATATCTTTTTTAAAATTCGTATTGGTGTTCTTTTATACAACATTTGTGTTGTCCAATTGAAAAATTTGAGCGATAAAAACAGTTTGAAAGTATCTCAGTTTTTCTTCTTGAATATCATTTATGAAAATATGACTCCTAATGTTCTATTTAGTTTGGTTAATCTCAGATAAAAATTCTCAGCGAGAACTCGAGACTGGGCAAAATAATATTTCAATTTTTTTTTATTTATATACCTTTACAATCTTTAATGGCTATCGTTAATTCCTCTAATAAAAATGGAGTTTTTAATTCTATAAAAACTCGTAGTAATCTTTTTTATCCTTGCGAAGAAGAAATATTGTATTGTCCATCCTAATGAATTTGAGCTAGTCTCGAATTTGCTATTTTAATTATATTTTTATATTTTTTTATACTTATATGTATACCCTTGTTGGGTCTTAAAATGATATTTTTGTAATTTTAATTTTGAAATATAACAAAAAAAAATATCTTAACAGTTCTGAGGGCGGAGGGGTTGGAAGGGCTTCATGGGAAATTTATAAACGACTTTTCATACTGCACGGTCGGAAAATATGTAAATGAATATAATTTATTGTACGCGATTATACATAAAAGTAAATAACTCTTTCAATGGAAGGATTTTCTGACTTTTCATTTTCGCCATATTAGGTTTCTGGAATATAATGTACAAATCTGCTAAATTTTGACTGAGATAGCGATTCTCATACGCGTATTAATAAACGAAGGGAACTAGTTCTTGGCAGTAAGAACCGAGTACTAGAGGTAGAATACCATGGGCTCGAAGTCAAAACATTGTTCATGGGGGGAGCTTAATTTTTTTTCTCTCCTGGGGGGCTCAGCACCCGTTGCGACCTGAAAACCCCCTGAAATTTCATTGGTTCAGTGGGGACCTAGCCCCATAACCCCCTCTGCAGATTACGCAAAGTTAATTGATAATTGCTCCAATAAATCATTGATACATGTAAAGGGTGTTACTAAATAAACACTTAAGATGGTAGAACTCAAAATTAACCAACAAAATAAGATAGAAGATGGCCAAAAATTCAATAAATGTAAAGAAAATGATCCAATCAGATTAATTAATGGAAAAAAATAACGACAAAACACTTCAACCCATCTTGAACTGACAGGTTTGTACCCGAAATACTAAATTCAAAATACTGATTAAGCCAGTGATGGATATATCATATAGTGACTATTTTCTGTTCCTGGTACCATGTTTCTTGTAGAAAACACGTAACATAAAACAACTTCTAAGACTTCGTTTGTCATATTTAATAAAACAAATGTAAATCGCATGGAAAGTATTCTGTTCTGACGACCTGAAAGAGAATGATAACCATTAAGTTCAAAAACAAAAAGATTAGTTGGGTGATAAATTTGATGATCAATAAATATGCGCACGAGAATGAATATTGTATGTAATTAAATTGTAGCTAACATTAAAACTTTAAAAAAAAATTAAAGTAATGCTCACAAAAAATAAGGATGAACAAAATCAAATCGAAATAGTTCCCTAGGATGAGGCGCAAATAAAAAAAAACATGAGCCTTGAATGAAGTTACAAAGAGAAATTGTTTTTGTAGTCGTTTACTAGCTTTTATTACACATCAACTTCAGTTAGTTTTAAATAAAAATGCAAGTCAGATTCATAAAGAAGACATGTTATAGAAACGTCAGTCATGTGTAAACCTATAGATTTGTTCACTTTTAATCTTTGAATTTACCATTTTATGCCTAAATAATTAAAAATTTGCACTTTGGGCGGTTTGTTTACTAACACCCTTTATATTGAGAAATTGAGGTTTGCAGCGGCATATTGGATCCCTTCCGCTAGAGCGGAGGCCATCGGAGGGAAATCGTTTTCAGCGTAGGGAATACACAATTGTGATTTTATACTCCTTTATATTGCATAGCTTACATTTCTTAAACGTTTGATAATACTTCTGTTTAATTTATGAAACACTAGCTCCTTCTAAACCTACTTATTTAGTTCTTCCTCTCAGTCATTGTATACACATAACTCTCTATTTTAAGTTTTTTACAAATTTGAAATATTTATTCTAATTTTTTGAAATTGCCAAAATTTTAAAAAAATTTTAAGATGTGCTTAAAAGCTGGGCACAAATGTGAACATTAGGGCCTGTCTAGCCGCCACAGGAACTTCAGCGGCCGAAAATGTTTTTGTCATTTTCGGATCCGGCAGGGCAAACTCCCGGCCGGCAACAGAGCTGGTTAAAATCCTGAACAAAATATTTTATGTAGTGGATACAGAATTTATTATAGTTGTTTTATAACTTTCAGACAACGCGACTTTTAAATCCCTACTTGAAGTAGATTAACATAATTAATAAGAGGTATTGTCTTATTGAACTATTTCACCAGAGCTGAAAACTTTAGAATGAGATATCCTTAATCCCGATTACATAATCTGAGTATCCAATGGACACACTTTTGATTTTCTTCTTAAACCGTTCTTTCTTGGATATAGTGGAGAAAAATCAAAAATCGATTTTTTTTAAAATAAGAGAGTCCCTCCCGTTAGCGTATATTCATCTTAAATGGCGCGCTAAATTTCAAATTTATCGGCATCGTTTACGCGACTCTGATTGGTTGGATTTTATTCACTTTTCAGGATACAAGTACAAGATTAGGTTAGTCTCGATATTAAGAAAAAGAAGAATCAAGCATTAATCTCGATATCCACCATTCTAAAGTTTTCAGTTTAGATGTAATACTTGAAAAAAACCCATTTTATTCAGGAAAACGTCATATGTTTTTCTTTTAAAAAACAGTTCACAAAGATAATCGTTTTAACAAAATATTTCCCAAGGGGGCACTAGAATTATGTTGACCTTATAGAAAAACATCTTTAAAAAGACAACATAAAATCCTACCTTATATTCTCTGCTATACTCTTAACCTTGGAAAGATCTAACTTGAGATCTTCTTGTGAGAAGTTGATTACAAGGAGGTATCCAGGATTACCCTTCTTCACCCTAAGTAATTACTTTTTCATCAGTCTCGTCAAAATTAGAATATTTAGATTCCATGGAGTTCTCAAACTATGTCATTATTATAATTTCCATTGAAACTATTAATCATGCTGATAATCATGATTATCATGATCATCATAATCCTCATTATCATTATCATAATTATAGTTATTATCATTATTTATTATCACTATTATCTTTTTACCAAAATTATTTTTATTAGTAATATAATCCATATTTCACTTCATATCATAACTTTCAGCATTAAAATCACTGTTATCATTACTTTTATCATCATCATACTTCTAAATTCTATATCTACATCTACATCTTGAATCCAATCTTTAAATGAACACAAGAAACCCCATTTACTATGTACTGAGTAAAATGCAGTTTTGATCAGGTAAAGACACTCTTTTCACGGAGTTTATTTAACTTCTCCCAGTATTGGCGACATATTTTTATAATAAATATGATAATACAGTGTAAGAATCACAAAACTGTAAAATAGAAAGACGACTTTTACATTCAGGCTATAATTCTAAATAGCCCAATACACATAAAACACAGTATTTGTGCAGCAAACAGTACACGTAACACAGGCCCATTGTGTTGGTTTCAAGCTACAGAAAAAAAACCCCATGCTTACTTAAATGTCGTCTACCTATTCAAATGGTTTACGGGTCTTACTGTATCTACCTGGATACAACTAGACAACCAGAAATTTCTTCAGCCACAATGGTTCCGAACAAGATGGTTTCAGACTGACGTAGTTTTGCCAGCTCCGAGTAAACAGAATAGTGTGTTAACCGACCCTCAGTAGAGGCCTGAAGAGCAAAATATCAATTATAAAATAATTCTTTCAAAAACACACCAAACTCGTTAACATCGCCATTTTAAATATTCACCTTAGTTTGGTTTTTCTGCATATCCCAGTTCATTTTAACAGCTGCCATTCCTGATGATAAAAAGTGCTAAAATTCTTCAGTTTTTACTTATTCAATTTTTTTCTAATTACTGTACTGTATCAAATAATACGATTTGGATTAACTTTTTACAATACTCAAGAGTCAAGTATTTTAGGTAGAGTCAAATTAGGAAAATTTAAGCAGACCTATGCTGGTCACATAGATTGACAGGGGGTTGTCTTAATGTCGAAACCTTTCAATGTATTAATTCATTTGAACGTTAATATATTGTTAATTATTATTTAATAATAATAATATTTATTTGTTATGTCTGTGAAATGTCTTCCATGAAGAGTCTGGTTTCTAAAAAATATCTTGTCAATTATACCTAGTTCCTGTCCCATATTAGTAAAGGGTGTGGCAGGAAGAATGATACTCAGCATATTCATCGCATCGACCATATCAGCTTCAACCACACTAACAGGGGAGCTAAAATGTAAGACTTTATGAATCATAAAGGAACTAAACATAACTCTAAAATTGTATCTTATTTCTTCACCAGCAGATGTCGTAGACCTTTGATATTTCAAACTAGGACTTCTGCAGATTAAACAGCCATAATTTGAAATATCAAAGGTTTAACCATCAGGATGCATTTAGGGATAGGCTATTTATGCTATTGTCCAGTGCTTAGTTCCTTAAAGAGAACACTGAAAGTTATAATTATTAATAGAAGTGTGAATCAAAAGTTCGAACAAAATGAACATTTCAGTTTTACTTGGCGTATGTGAAGTATTACATTTACCAGCGCTTAAAGAAAATTTACGGAACTTTAAAAAACGATACTTTGAGTCAAAAAGAGATCTTAGAACAATCACAAATTTATTTTGATTTGAAAATAAGATTCAAGTCAAATGGAAAACAAATACCTGACAGCAATCGCTGGCCATGCATTGACTGGAAGTTTAGTTTTCACTTCTTGAATGAAGGAAACAATATTTTTTACGTTTAAATCTCCTTGCATGTCGTCAGACATTGGTACTCCGACAGCAAGGTGGAAAAGCTGACCGATATGATTCTCGTCGATATCATCTCCATAAAGAGGTCCAAGATCAACCAATTGAAGGTCGGTGAGAGCGATGAGGATTCTGGATGAGTCTGAGGTCTCCCCGAAGTTGTCGACCACGGTGCGGAACTGTTTGACGATGTCCTTGGATGCTTTGAGGTCAAGTTTCATATGTTGATCCTCTACGAGAGTATTGAAGGAGTCTAGGTTGAATCCATCAACTCCTTTATTCAACCAAAACTTCATAACTTTCTTCATCTCCTCGACAACCTGCAGATACACATTTTTTAAATTTGATTAACATCAGTGAATTTTTATATGAATGGAGACAAAAATAAGACTTTAATAAAATTTACACGATCCTCTTCATTTTAAACTCTTTCTTCATTTTTATCTTTGTATTCACGAGATTGAGAGATTATAGAATATAAAGCCGAGTTAATATTCTATTTCTGAGATCAAAATATATTTAAAGCCGTTGAACTACGGGAGGGAGGAACCCCCTGACACGCCATGAGCCTCCACCATACAGACACGAGCCTCCCAGATTTGCTAGGCAGACCGAGCCAGGCAGTAAGAACCTCCGCTATGCAGTAAACGAAGCTTCCTTATAACTATTGATTAAATCATAGATTATAAAATATAAAATAAAATTACTTTCAGATTTTTTTCTCTAAATGTTTTCCTTTTTGCGTAAAAAATGTCTCAAGGTTTATAAACCCCTTTGCTAGTCATAATTAGTCCCTATTTATAATAATTGATTAATACTTCTAATATTTGATAACCTTTTTATGCAACTTTTTCGAAAAAAATGGAAAAAATTCTTTACTGCATGTAAAAACCAAGAGCCTTAAGGAAACTATTCTGAATATCGTAAGCTCGTTTACTGTATAGCGGAGGCTCTAACTACATGGCGGAGGCTCGGTCTGTATAGTGAATTAGCGCCCAAGAGAAATGTTTCAAAAGTTCAACAACTTTATTAAAATTGGTCCTTTGAACAATTTGTTTTACCTTTGGATTTGCAAGATTGAGCTCCGGTAATCCAGTTGGAGCCCAGTAGTACTGTCCTCGTTCAGAGTTCTTAACCCAACCAGGAGCAGATCCAGTGCTGCTCCAGATAAAGAAATCCTTCAGGATCAAAACCAGTCAAATCAAATCCACGGGAGATAAATCAATAAAAAATTGTTTTATTGTCAAACCGTCCCTTCCAAACTTTTCCAATGAGTATGAGTAATAAGTATGAGTTGGTTAGAATAAAAATGATTGATAAAATGTAAAAAAAACTCTTTTTTAAACATTAAAAAAAAAATTGTCTTATAAATGAGTATTATATTGGGTTTCTTGTAATGCATATTGGATTTTATTTTTAGTTTAGAAAACTTAGCTGGCATTCTTTAATCATTGAATGTAATTATATTTCAGCACTTTTGGATATTCATTGTTAAATCTCAAGTTCTGAATATTAAAAACAAGATATTGTTTAGTTTTTTGAAATCCAATGCAGTTTGCAGCCTGGTATTCTAAATAATTTGCGATTGAAAAAAATTTAGATTGAAATTTTCATTTTTTTAAATTATGTCAGAATATTTAAGAATAGAATTGATTAAATACTTTTTCCTTAGTAAATATTTTTCCTTTAATTAAAAGATTTGGTTGGGTTCCCTGATAAGTTGGATCCTTGCTGACAGAGAGTTCAAACCATTCATGCTGTTCGGAGACATGGTTCGGGATTATATCAATAATAACCTAGAATACATGGTTCGGGATTATATTAATAATAACCTAGAATACATGGTTCGGGATTATATTAATAATAACCTAGAATACATGGTTCGGGATTATATCAATAATAACCTAGAATACATGGTTCGGGATTATATTAATAATAACCTAGAATACATGGTTCGGGATTATATCAATAATTATCTAGAGTACAAGGTTCGGGATTATATCAAAAATAACCTAGAATACAATTTTCGGGATTATATAAATAATTATCTAGAGTACAAGGTTCAGGATTATATCAATAATTATCTAGAGTACAAGGTTCGGGATTATATCAATAATAACCTATAATACAATTTTCGGGATTATATCAATAATAACCTAGAATACAATTTTCGGGATTATATCAATAATAACCTAGACCAAATCTCCCTAAGTTCCTAATCAAATCATTTTCTGAATAAGCGCGAATCGCAAATTATCTTTCCTAATCTAAGTCTTGAATCTAAGTCTTGGAAACCAATTGAACCTTTTAAGAAAAACAACTTATTTTTATCTAAATTCATGTTTCTTTTTCTCTTGCCCCCCCCCCCACTCACACCCGGCCGGCGCGTGGGGATTGGGGTGGGGGGCGTTGGATAGAGGGCTCCAAAAATAAAAATATACACGTACGTCTTTACCTCTGAACAATAACATAGTACATGAACAAAAGTTGAATTGCTTGAATTTTACCTTCATATTCCTAAGTTGGAGCTGGTCAACTAAAGACGACCAGTCCGCTAATGTTCCCAACTCGGCCTTCACATCTTGGAAGTCAGATACTCCATACTTATTCCCAACTCCAGCTACAAAATTATTAAAAATAATGTGAGAAATGATTTTTAGCCTTTAATATCGTTTCTAGCTGTTAATATACATGTTCAGCTAGAAAAGTTAAGATATTTTATTTATCCTTTATCGGAATAAGGTTTTTTTTGGAGGGTACCACTGTAACTGGGGCATAGAATTCTTAAACTACGTCTACAGTCTCTTTAAGTATGGAATTATATTCACGGCCCAGCTTTTACCTGGTCCTTTAAAGAATGGATCCAAATAGATAGTGTTAACTCCAGTTTCCACAAGATAATCAAGCTCTCCTTCTAAACCTAAACACGACAAAATACGTTTAACAGTATTTTACATCTAAATCTTCAACTGTCACGTTTTTTCATATGCTCCAAGTTTGAAACGTTGGAAAAAATATAAAAAAATATTAACGTGGATAATTTTCAGATTTGAGAAGGGATTCTGAAAGTTATAAATAAGTGAAAAAAATGTTGTTTTTGTTTTACCTTTTATATCTCCTGTTCCGTCATTGTTTGAATCCTTGAAGTTAGCAATGTCAACCTTGTAGATGGGGCCCTTCTGCCACCATTGTTTAGGGTCCGGGGAGGGACACTTAGGGGCGTAGACAATGATCACGATTGATGCAACCAGCATGGCAATCCAGATTATCCAGAACAGGACAAAAAGAATCCAACGAAGTCGGACCCAGAATGGATCAGTTGCAAAGCGCATCAATTCTTCCTTTGTTAGACCCTAAATATAATTGAAACTTGATTTTAAAGTTTAAGAAGTTTGTTGCTTGTTTCAGTTCGAAGTTTTATGACCTATTGGCTTTTAAACCTTAACTTGCCTTGATTATTTTAGGAGTAAAAAATATTAGAGGTTCTAGACCAGGAACAAGTTTCATACAGATCACAAAGATTATTAAAATGACTAAAGAAAATTGAAGAAAATCTTCTCCTAATATCTTTCGCTAATTTACACCATATTCCAAAAAAAAAACTAAATACAGGAGAAATAGTTACAGAGATATTTTACCTTAAATCCATCCTCCATTGGAGCCTCTAGGTCAACTTTAACCTCGGCAGGGCTGATCTTAGCCTCCACACTTTTCTCGACAATCATCTAAAAACATATTTTATAAAATGTTGATATTTTATACATGTGTTAATTATTTTTTACAAAGGAAGGGTATAAGTGTTTAGCTTATAAAAACACTCCTTATTGCAATTTCTAACTAATATATCAATTTAGTGTTTTTTTTATTAGAAAGATACAGAGACGTCTTTTAATTAGAAAGATATAAAGACGACTTTTATAAGTTCATTTAAACATATGATTTTTTTTGTTTATATGCACTTCAGACATTTCGTAGAATTAGGACTAAACACATTCCATTAACATGAAAATTAGTCAAACGACTTATGCACTTCCCATGATATTATTTTGGTTTACCTCGATTAAATCTTCATTAAATTACAAATATATTGGTTGTTGAGGTTGTTTTGATTAAATTAATAAACCGAATCTGAACTTAATTTTTATACTTCTGCAAGGTTCGAAAACACAAAAATACAGACCAGGACTAGGTATATTAGGATGATAGATTCAATACTTGCGCGGAATTTCGAGTCCTGTGTACTCCTTGCAATTGCGTGCAATTCCGCACAATTCGAGAACAGTTGCGTACTATTCCACACAGTTGCTCGCAATTCCGACTAGAAACCATGCCGACAAGGTTTGATGTTAAATGATCCAAAAATCTGAATATGCAATCCCTAATTGAAATAAATAACAAACTAAAGTGCCCGGCTTTGCCCGTGGAGCAATTCAAAATGTTGCCTATTTTTCCCCAAGGGTTCCCTCAATTTTTTTTTTGCTAATTTGGTCCAGCCGTTTGACCAGCAATAGCTAGCATATTAATATAGATATATATACAGATATATCTATATGAATAAAATGTTATAAGAAGATTGTTGTTGCATTTCACTGGCATAAATATATGTATAGATTCATACATCCTAATATAATATATAAGTGAGCAAAGATCTTTATTATATAGAAAATACAGAGAGAAAAAATTTAAATATAAACCCACCCCTGTAATAAATTCAAGATTTAACTAAGACACGCCCTAGATGTGTGGGTTTGAAAATATTTAATGATATCCATATGTGTAAACTTAAATATTTAAATATTTCAATTACAAGAAAAATATCACCTTTTTCTCTCCTTCTCCAGCTAGAGTCTCCTTCTCCTGTTCTCCTTCAGGAACTGCGTCCCCCTTCTCTTCTTTTTCTCCCATGGTTTGTGCGTACTTCTGTTCTTGAAAAGTATTCTCAAAGAACTGCTGATCAAATTGATTCTGATGAATGATGATATCTAGACTCTAGAGTCTAGCTAGAGGGAGAGGAAAGGCAGGGCATAAACTTCTCTAGGAGTATATTCAAAAATCACAAAGAGATAAATTTATCATCTGACGCACAAGATCAGCAAATTTTCGTGTTTAAATTAAACAAAGATAAAAACATTGTTTTTTTATCTCTTATTTTCGCTCCGTTATAGTGAAATATATACTCCAAGCCTGGTGCCTGCTGACTCCGTAGTAACTATAACTTGGGGAATGGGGACACTCCCTAGTATGTTACGGCAGGGGTCAATTTAAATCCATGTCTGCGAGGGTCATGTATCTTTAGATCGATAGATTGAAAGAGAAGACTACAATTATTATTTATTATTTAATTAAATGAATGCCACTAAATAACAATTTCTTCATCAAATACTTAAGGAGAGGGGGGACTGGGAGGGAAAAGTTTTTTTCTGAGAAAATGGAATTATGTACGAAAAATTGTATTTCTTATTTTCATCATTCATATTTGTCTAAAGCAAAATTACATTAAACAATATAAAAGTTTACAAACTAATACTCTTTTAAATTGACAGGGTTTGCCAAAAAACAGGTGCAATACAAGACTTTTAGCATGAGTATAGTTTAGCTATTCAGAGGTAGTTTTCAGGAAAGGGGTTTCTTGGTCCCAGTCTAGTGTTTTTCGTTTTCTAAAAATGTGGTATGATGACAGTACTACAAGGCTTGATAGATTTTCCATTGCTTCGAAACTAACACTGGGTTTGCAGAACTTATGCAATTTCTTTAGATTTGCTTTATTTTATGGTGAGATATATCCTCTTGAGCCGATTTCAAAAGAATGAACAGACACATCCCTAGTTGTTAAATTTGTGATAAAATATTAATACTTGTTTCATCTTTTGAGTGTTAGCATTTTTGATATTTGTTTCCAATGGGACAGTAAGCTCAAAAATATCCACCTTTTCCTCCATTCTATCGATAATTACTAAATCTGGTTTCTCTGCGGTTAGTTTGAGATAACCTAAACAAATTTAAACAAATGACAAGTCCATAGTTGTCGATTGAAACAGAAGATCAATTCAAATCAAATCAAATCAATGGCGGAGTAAAGTGGCGGTTTGAGAACAGGAGGCGGAGACATAGCGTCAATCTATTCAGTCAGAAATAAAAAAAGTTTTAGGCTCAATAATGTAAAAAATTGTTCTTGATCAAGAAATATTATTAATGCTATTCTGATCAGGATAAAAGATCAAAAATAAGCTAAATATTTCTTACGACAAGGATACATAATATATATGATACTCAATATATGTATAAAAAAATATAAAAAAAAATATGTACAGATCATATTGAAGACCTTTAAACCCCCAAACCTATCTAAAAACTAAGTATAGCAAAATAGCCGTTGCATTCAAAGTTCGATAATCTATCCAGAAAATGTAGTTTAAGTTTATATTTAAATTCGTTTTTACTAGACTAGCAATACAAGACAAAGTAGATTGTGTGTACAATTTTATAAAACGTTGAAACTAGGGTGATCTTTATCATGATTTGATTTGTTAATTTTCTTCAAACATAAATAATTGGTTGATGGCTATTGCATATTGAAAGACATAACATAAGTCTTAAAAGATATCTGAAGTGCTTAACCAGTCGCCCAAATTATTTATTATAATTACTAATTTTTTGACAAATTCATAAAAATAAAAATGTCTTCACCTTTTAGTGCACCTCAGAATGAGAAATTCATTTCCAAAATAAGCTCTGAAAAGATTAATATTTACAACTACAAAAAGTAACAAACCTTATTTATTAAAAATTATTAACGAAAAAGTAAATAAATGCGACTTAAATGCATAGTTTATGAATCACATTTTATAAAAATGCGTTTACGGTATAAAATTACAAAAATATTCATCTAATACTGCATTAACAATTTTTTGATAGATAACAAATATTTTAAATATACTTTTCCGTAAAAATTTAAAAACTCGAAAAATCCCAAGAACCGAGGCATATGAAAGAAAAAAAAATAATAATTTAAAATAACAAATAATTTGCAGAAAGGTAAAAAAGATCAAAAAGTTAAAGTTAAATACAGGTGTAAAACTTCGGAGAAAGCTACAGTGGTCTCCTAAAAACTTAAAGATATTTCCGCAATAAAACAAGTCCAAATAAACTTAAAGTGTTTTGATTTTTCCATATCTAGTTTGTATATTCTAGTCTATTGAGAAGACCACCGTGCTACATGTTTTATATAAAAACTGGACTTGTTAGTTACAAATAGGATTGACAAAAATAAATTGTAAACTTTCTTTGTGACATGTTTTTTATAGTATATTTATGTTAACAATCAGTATTTTTGTGACTTAAGTAGCTATTTATCAGAAAATTGTAAAAATTCTTCGTGAAATAAAGCATAATTGGTTTCGTCAGATCAAAAAGAATATCCAAATTCTCTAGAAACTAAGTAAAATATAATAATACCCTACAAGTTAAAAATTCTGATACAATAACGATTCAAATTACAACATATCAAGTAAGTAGCTTAATTGTTTAACCTAAAACAGCATGTTAGTTCAAATCATCTTTAAAAATACTAGGCTTTTAGGGCGCTTCGCGCCCATCTTCTATCTAAACTGTGAACATGTTCTTTTTGTTTACATTTTAAAACAAAGAAAAATTTGTTTGCCGATTGTTATAAAAAAAAATCCCCGATTTTCAAGACTTCAATTTTTTTTTTACAAAATTAAAAACCTTTAAAACACATTTTTTTTTTAATTTTTTATCATTCATAAACCTTCCCTGTGGTCACGTGATGTCCCACAAAAAATTTGGGCCCGATCGGTTCAGCCGTTTTGACGTTTATTGGATACAAACAAACAAACAGACACCCAGACAAGCCAAATTTACATATAGATTGATCATGATATTGTTGAGATTCGTTATGAACTTCTTAATATTTTTACTTGAGATTATTCGTTTGTTTTGGATACAATTTGATAAATAATTCAATTTCCTTGTAGTTTAACAAAAATTCGGACATTTCCAATTTCCATGCGAAAAAAAGTACAAGAAAAATCTTAAACTAACACAATAGTACTTTTGGGGTTACAGCCATAAGTAATTCGATTCAGTGAATTAAATCATCAATCAACCAATAAACTAATCATCTTCAGCTATAGGAGATAAAGTTTGATTTTTAATCAAAGATTTCTCGGTTTCTTCCTCACTGGAATCTCCATCCTGAAACATCCGAGAGATAAATTGTAAAAAATAAACTTTAAAAAAAATTTTATTTATTAAAATCAAGAACTAATATTACTCTAATATTAAAGCTGCAATATATGTCGAAGCGCGTACTAAATGAGACAGGGACAAGGCACCCCAGAAAATATCGTCCGAGCCCCAAAAATTGTTATTCGAGCCACACATCACAAGCAATTGAGGCTATTTTTTAGCATAAATAAGCTATTAACAACTTATAACGACACATTTCAAAAAAAAGCTGCGTAATTGAACACAAAAAGGCTTCAATTTCACTGTTGTTACTTCAAATTAGTGTTAAATCTGTTTAATTTGGCATATAGTGTACACAGCACATCCCGGTTGCGAGCCCAGGTTGTTGTTGTTGTAGCTTCATCCTGGGTCAGGATCTTCGAGTTCTTCCAGTCCAAGGAAGTTAGAGGCTTCGATAGGGTGGAAGTGTGAAGGCTGGTTGGATTTGCTTGACAATTAAACAGGTGGTTTGTATAGACAGGTGTGGTTTGACATTTGGGACATTTATTTTCAATTTTATCATCTAATCGGTTGAGGTAGGAATTAAGGAGTCTTGAGAACCCACTCCTGAGTTGGGAGAGTCTTGATCTGGCGGTTCTTGTGAGTTTAATTTCATCAGGATTGATTGGAGGAGGGGGGAGAACGTGATTTGGCTCCTGTTCTCCGAATCTGTGAGTAACCTTGTCATTGTAAATGTTCATGGATTTTTGTAGTTAACGAAGGATCTAGGAGGTGACGAAGAAATAATTAATTTTAGTCAACAAATTCTAACCTCTGTTTGGTTGGAGATTGGATCAGATGTTGATATTACCTCCTCTTCAAAATCACTCTTTGGATTCTCATCATCAAACCCTACAGGAGGGTCTACCTCTACAGGAACACTAGAACAGCAATTTGTCAATTTGTCCGTTATTTCAACAAAAAATGTCACTCACAGGAGAATCACATATATAATAATACAAGACATTAATATATATTTTGCCTATAGCCAGCCCTTCAGCTAATCAGTAATATTACGTGAAGCGTAAATCTCATCCCGATTAAAAAACCTTCCCCACATCAATTAACAAAAGTATCATACAAAGTATAAAAAATGTAAAATATGAACTCAAATCAGACTCTCAGTGAAGTCCTACTAAACCCAAATCCAACCTAGAAGTGAATAAACTAAATCAAAGTGGGTATTAGTTTAGTAAAGATCGTTTTTAACAATTTAAAAATGTAGAAAATTTAGTAATTTAGTTTTCCAATTATTTTCTTTTCTTTTTTATTCTATTTTATCGCATCAAATTTAAATCTATAAGATAAATATATTTTTTTTGACATAGAAAGGGAGATGTTAGGTACTTTCCCAAAGGCCTTTTCCCAAGCGGGAACTTCCCAAAGGTATTTTCCCAATTGGCAACTTCTCAAATGTGCAATTTCTCAAGTGGCAACTTCCCTAATGTACATTTTCCCAAGTGGCAACTTCCCCATGAAGAAAAAGCGACGACTTCCCAAATGTGCATTTTCCCAAGTAAAGATTTCTTTAAATTGTTTACTATATTTTCTTTATAACAAGAAATAGCCGCAGGGTGATAATAAGGATCGTTTAATACATTTTTATTCTTTGAAGTAAGGGTGTAGGCTACCAACATGTTCTTGCCTTACTAACTGAGAGAAACTGAATGAAATTTTTCTAAAGTTGCGTATCTTCTAAAAAAAGGTTGAGAAATTCTTTTAAAATGCAAAACTTAAATTTTCATTTAATACTTCCTTCATGGGGAAAATGCCGAATTTCCTTCATGGGGAAGATGCCACTTGGGAAATTGTCATTTGGGAAAATGTACATTTGGGAAATTGTACATTTGGGAAAATGTACATTTGGGAAAATGTACATTTGGAAAAATGTACATTTGGGAAGTTGCCGCTTGGGAAATTGTATATCTGGGAAGTTGCCACTTGGAAAATGGTCACTTGGGAAGTTGCCCTTGGGAAAGTACCTAACACCAAAAGGGACTGTAGACGTAATTTTTTTCACAATGAATGAATTAATCAACCTGATTTTAGTAGGAATGTCGTCGTCAGATAGATTCTTTACACTCTCGCCATCAAAGCTAAAAATTATTTGTTTGTAGTAGAGCTAAATGTTTCTTTTATGCATAATAATGATTTAGACAAGTTTTTTTTGTTAATTTAGAATTTAGTTACGAAATAGAAAGAGTGATATTTCTTAATTAAAGTTTCCACTGTGGATAGTGTGTTGTAAATTAAAGTTTCCACTGTTGATATTGTATTCACTGTTCAGGTGTGTTGTAAATTAAAGTTTCCACTGTTGATATTGTATTCACTGTTCAGGTGTGTTGTAAATTAAAGTTTCCACTGTGGATATTGTATTCACTGTTCAGGTGTGTTGTAAATTAAAGTTTCATTGTGTTCACTGTTAAGGCGTGTTGTAAATTAAAGTGTCCACTATTGATACTGTGTTCAGGTGTTGTAAATTCAAGTTTCCACTGTGGATACATGTGCTTAGGCATGTTGTAAATTAAAGTTTCCACTGTGGATATTGTGTTCAGGCGTGATGTAAATTAAATTTTCCATTGTGGATATTGTGTTGAGGTGTGTTGTAAATTAAATTTTCCATTGTGGATATTGTGTTGAGGTGTGTTGTAAATTAAAGTTTCCACTGTGGATACTGTGTTCAGATGAGTTGTAAATCAAATTTTCCACTGTGGATACATGTGCTCAGGCGTGTTGTAAATTAAAGTTTCCACTGTGGATATTGTGTTGTAAGTTAAAGTTTCCACAATGGATACTGTGTTCAGGCGTGATGTAAATTAAATTTTCCATTGTGGATATTTTGTTGAGGTGTGTTGTAAATTATAGTTTCCACGGTGGACATTGTGTTCAGATGTGTTTTAAATTAAAGTTTGCAATCTGGATAGTGTGTTCACTGTTCAGGCGTGTTGTAAATTAACGCCATCATAATTGGAATATACACTAGGGGGGAGTGAATTTTAAAATTGCATCACAGAATTATGGCGAAAGTCAATTCCTCTGTAAAAAAAACAATCCTAAGAACAATTTTGTTTACACTTTTTGATTGAAGGTCGTCTTCATTAGCAAACGGGCATTATAAGTTTGACCTATATATACTCTTTCTCTGAAATCTGTCATTTTACAATAATATTCACGGCAATAGTCATTTTTATTGTAAAAATCATTTATAAAAATAATTTCTTTTAAGATATTTTTTGATTAGAGGTGTCTTCTTGAGCTAACTGGCACTGGAATATTTGACCTAAAAGTACTTTTTCACTGGATCGGTGTGCCATTTAGCAAAAGAAGACGACCTCCAATCAAAAAGTGTCATAAAAATTGTTCTTAGAATTGTTTTTAACACTGTAACGATCGCTGTAATAATTGGAAGCTTATTGCAAAATCATCAATCTCATAATGAGTACATTTAGGTAAAGAATTAGAGTGCCAGTTAGCTAAGAAAGACGACCTCCAATCAAAAAGTGTCATGAAAGGAATTGTTCTTAGAATTGTTTTCAACAGTGGAATTAACGATCACTGTAATAATTGGAAACATATTGCATGCTTAGTGCGAAATAATAGATTTCATAACAAGAATATATATAGGTTAAAATTTTCAGTGCCCGTTAGCAAACAAAGACGACTTCCAATCAAAACATGTCATAAAAGAATTTGTTTTTATAATTGATTTTTTACATAGAAATGGACTATCACCGCTATCATTGGACGCATTTTGCTTGTTAACTGCAAAATCACAGATCTCAGAAAAAGACTTAACGGTCAAAACTTGCAGTGCCAGTCAGCTAACAAAGACGATCTCTCAAATCAAAAAGTGTCATAAAAGAAACTGTTCTTTGAATTTTTGTTTACATAGGAATTGACTATCGCCGTAATGATTTCAAGCAAAATGTTTTATTTTTGTAAATTCACTCTCCCCTAATATACCCCTCATTTCAAGTCAATAATGTAGAGTGGAATGTCCGATTCACAACATACCCTTAAAAAATCCTCGTCTTACTTCTTGAAAATTGTCTATTTTTTCAATTGGGATTTCAAGCTAGAACAACGACTTCATCTTCCAAATTGATTATTAGAGAATGATTTTAAGGGTGCAGTTGTTAATTAAAATTACTATGACAGTCCCTTTAAACAAAAATTCCGACATCAAGTAAATTGTTTAGTGATGAATATTGAATACCTAGCGTTTAAAGAGACTGAATTAGAACCAGAGAGGTCCAGCTCTGCCGGGATACCAGGTTCAAAATAATCCTAGAAATATTTTCTTCCATAAAATAGAAAATCGTTTTTAGTTTCAATTTACTAGGATATTTGAACTTAGTGCAATACTATATTAAAGTTCTCAAACATTTCCCCCACATTTTATAAAATAAATACCTTGTTCGGGCTATCCTTTCCATAAAGAAGAAAATTATCATATTTATCGCCAAATTTTCCATCTTTTTCCCTTAACCTAATTAAAAATAAAATAATTTTAGAATTCTTTTTAAAATTTACTTAATTAAGTAGCAGGCTCTTAAAAAAGTATTCAACCAATGAGAAAAGAATGGGATCAACTTATTCTGTACATTCAAAATTTCTCAGCTCAGCATACAAAGGGTTGAAGGTTCCCTTGAAATGAGCAAGATATTTAACCAATTCCCAAAACCACGATTTAATAAAAATCCATTTTTAACCCGACTTCTGGGATTAATTTTTTGTTACAGTTTAATGATTTAACTTTATCTTGATCATTAGTTTTCAGCTTTGTTTAATTGACTAATGACTAACCTGAGGATGAGATAAGTTTTCTGATCGTCCGACCAACCATGAACCCAACCATGGTATAGATACATCTGACAATCAAATAGAGACGGTTTCTTCCTGATAATAAGACAACAAATCTAATTATTTCTTTAATAATAAGAAATACAGGGTTGGACCAGACGTAATTGGAAGACTTTTATATTTTTACTCGTAGAGAAAGGGAATTTATTCCATACACTGCAAATTTTTAACTTTGCAAGATAATCTTTAATAAAGAAAATATACATTTCTTTTTCCTTATCAATTATTTTTTTCTCCCATAAACTATTTATTTTCCCTATCAACTATTTATTTTCCCTATCAACGATTTATTTTCCCCTATCAATTTTTTGTTTCCCCTATCAATTATTTGTAATCCCTTATCAATTATTTGTTTTCCCTTTCAAGTAAATGTTTTCCCCTATCAAGTATTTGATTTCCCCTATCAATTATTTCTTTAGTCCCATAATTATTTGTTTTCCCCTATCAATTATTTGTTTCCCCTAATAATCTTTTGTTTTTTCAAATCAATTATAATTTTTCCCCAATCAATTATTTGTTTCTCCCATCAACTTTTTATTTTCCAGCATCAATTATTTGATTTCCCCATTGCAAACCCGTAGGACTCCTAATGTACTTTTCAAGTCACCTCGTTATAGAATGTTATGTCCGATTCCAAACAGAATCCTTAACAGCTTGTTTGTGTGACAAGAATAAAAGAGATATCTATGTTTATACGTTTTAAAACTTTATTAGGGATTTAAGATAGGTTTAAACTTTAAAGATAGGTTTAAACTTTAAAGGGTACCACTGGATTCGGACATAAGTGGGAAGTTGCTTGAATCTACAATGAAAGTCCATCTAAAATTATTCAACAAAATATTTACCCCGAAAAACATAACGTTTCAATTTATTACCTCTGGCTGTCTGAACAACTAAGAGATGCTAGGCTATTAGTGACACCATTAACATGTTTAGGGGCCATAGTACTCCCCAACACACAAACAAAATCGTCCTTAATAAACGGAAATAATGACAAATGAGTGTGAAAAATCCAGTTAAAAAATTTTGGTGTACTATTTTTTTAAAACTATTTGTTGTTAAACTAAATGACAATATAACAATGTGCCACTAACTGGGGTCTAGAGATTAATTCACCAAATAACCCAACAAAAAAAAATACTAATTTATGCTTGGCAGGTATAGAACTCAATCCCAGCTCCTCATACTGAGTGTATAGTTATTAGTTATATCTATTTATTATCTATATTCTATATGTATATAAATTTGGTTCGTTTGTTTATTATTTTGTATCCAATAAAGGTCAAAGAACCGATTGGACCCAAATTTGTTTGTGATGACCATGCAGGAAAGGTTTATGAACGGTTAAAAGTTAAACATGTTGCCTGAAAAAAATGTCACTTTTTTAATTTTAGAAATTTATCAATGTTATCAGAAAAAACCGCCAAATTTTTAGTTTGACAATTACGAGAAAAAATATCTTCTTGAAAGACAACATTTGAACACTAAACTGTTGCTAGAAGAGGGGACGAAACACCCTGAAAGCATAGTAAAATAAAAACCTGTATAAATTAGTTTTGTACAAACCTTTTGTAATTCTGACCAATTATTGAACCAAGAGAGTACAAAGTTCATTTGCTGATCATTAGAAAGGTCAGCTCTGAAAAAATGACATACTTAAAATCAAATATGAAAAATGTGTACAATAAACGTCAAAATAGCTCAACCGATTGGGCCTACATTTTTGTAGCACATAACCCCATGGAAAATTATAAAAAAAATTCACAGAAAAATTGTCGACATTCATCATTTTTAAAAATCCACCAATTTTATCAGGAAAATTCGCGAACATTTGTGTGTATTGCAGAGTGCGATGAAAATGGCGACTTGGAAAGCAAGAGTTAAAAGCTACACATTTCACTACAACGCACCATCAAGCCTATCGTGAATAACCTTAGTGGTTTAAGAAATTGATAAATGCAAATGATTTCCTACTTACAACTTGTGTTACCCTTTCAAGATATTTGCAACAAAATCCCCATGGCCATATGTATTCATATTTTGCTTGACCATCATGTTTGTTTGTATCCAACAACGTCAAAACCGTAGAACCTATCAGATATTTTCACAAATACTCCTCCAAAAAAATCTTTTGTATTCTTCTTAAAAGCACGAAGATAACTGGGTTAGAATTACATGTGGTTCTGTAATGATATATAACATAATATGTATAATACCTATTATTTGAAACCCTCCTCTCTAACATTCTAGGTTCTAAACTTGATGGCTCACTCATCTGAAAAAAATATAACTTTAAACATTTTTTTCACAAAATAAAGAATACAGAGAGTATGAACTAGAACAAGTCTTCTTAAATCTGAAACAAGTTTACAACAAGACTTGTTAACATGAAGACAAAAATATATCTGAATAAAACACAATTGGTTGTAAAGTTAAGTTTATAAAAACGGTATACATTTAACAGTTGATTTTTTACGTGAAAACATACAAATAAAATAAGTTATTGCTCTCTAATTATTTAAAGAATTAGGGTAAACAATAACAAGCAAAAACTAAACTGAACTTTATGTAAAACGCATACAGACCTATATATTTAAGATAGAAAACATACATGTAAAATATTTATTGTATATTGTATATAGCATGTAATATATTTGAAAAGTTATGGGAAATCCTTCAAAGGATCCTCCTCCAGTCTTGAAACAGTGAGCTCCAGTTGAGGGTAGGTTAGTCTCATCTTCTCTTCGAATTCAGATGAAAAATTGCTGTAAACATTTGAGATAGACAAGGTCTTGACTTTTTTACCAACCATGTCGAAGACCTGTTGGAACCTACTCGGGCGAATCATGAGACAGTTCTCCAAGTGCAGGATTTCTAGTTTAGAGAGAGACTTGAGACACCCATCCAAGCACAATAAATCAACCCTGTCTGAACTTAAATGAAGTTCTCGGATACTACCTCCAAGAACATTGAACATCTCATGAAGGTTTTCATGGGTTACATAACCACAGGAGTGCATGTCCAATATTTCAAGTTTGGGAAAAGGCTTAACCTCTTGCATAAAGTTTTGTCCACGGATGAATGAACTTCCAACTAAATACAATTCCGTAAGTTTACCTCCACACATTCTTAATATATTATACAGTCCTTTATCCGTTATGTTACTACATCCATCCAGACATAATATCTCAAGGCATGGAAATGATATTTTCAAATCATGCTTCCCATTAATATTCTTGATCTTCTTTAAGTTTTGTATATTTAACTCCTCAAGGCTGGTTCCACAAGATGCCAGTATTTGACTGAGTCCAGCGTCATCAACATTCATACAATTTTTCAAATTCAGAAATTTAAGTTTTGGGAACGATTTCACCTTTTCATCAAACTCTTTTCCATTTATCATCATCCCACATAAACTCAATTCTTTAAGTTCACTTCCAGACATTCTCAGTATATTATTAAGTCCGTTTTCGGTCATATTAACACATCTTTTAATCTTAAGTATCTCAAGGGACGGAAAAGATATTTTCAAATCACGCTTGACGACCATATCCTTAATCTGACCAGATTTTATTATTCTCAACTCCTTAATTTGGGTTCCACAGGTTGCCAGAATTTCACTTAGCCTAGCGTCATTCAAATTGAAGCATTCATTTAGCACCAGTTTCTCTATCATAGGAAGAATTTTCTCTCCCTTCTTAACTCGTAGTGTAGAAACGCTTACACGATGCAATATCAGCAATTTCAGACCACTACAGAAATTTCTCAGGATAAGTGTAAATCCTTTGTTTGAAAGGTGATTGCAGTTGCTGAGAAGAAGATTCTCCAAGCTGGATGAGATACGCACACTTTCCAATAATTCTCCTTTGCCTGGTAGATTGCGAATGTGTAAATATTTTAGCTGATCCATGCATGAGAATATTGCAAGCAAGATGAAATCACTTTGAAGTGCCCCTTGGACATGCAGGGATAAATCCAGAGTATGAATTTCTGGATGATTTTCAATCAAATGCACAAAAGCATGTCCAACATTGTTGCTTGAGAGCTTCAGTGTAAGGTCTTCAATGATTTGTATTTCATCTGCCACTCTCATGAGCTTGGCAGAATTAACTTTACCAACACTCCAAACCTTAAAGGTGTCCTCTAGCTGGTTAATCCGACTGTGAAGATTTGTATTTACTGCTCTAAGACACATCTTATCTTTCATATTTAAATATTTAAGAACCGAGATAAAATCATACACAACCATCCTCTCTAAACCGGGCTTGTTCACTTCCATTCTGAGAATACAAAATTCTGAAACAACAAGAATGTGATACACTTGCATAGTTATAATTGATCTTAGAATATATTATGCTCCTAAATGCCAAGACATAATTGTCCATTAAAGGGATTTTTGGATCTTCAGAAGCCGACTGAAAGATTTGCAAGAAACAAGTTGTACATATTTCTTAATAAAGGTTGCGTTTTTTTTCAGGCGCGTAGTGGAAGTTTAGCCTAGGGGGGGTGCCGAATTTTTTTTTGTGTGTGCACTCCCCAAAAGGTTGATGCTTACCCCCCTAAAAAACCTGTATTAAGAAGAAATAAAGTTTAAAATCTATATTAATCTACACCTGAAGGCTGAGTTTTAGTCATCTAACCATAAAATACTGTAAATGAAATTAAGGTACAAGAAAGAATAGAAAAATAATCATAAATTGGACAAATTGTGACATTGCTGATTGATAAGTAAAGTAAAAAAATTCAATATATATATATATGTAAGTTTACTGTATAATAAGTTAGAGCCTGCCTCTGGCTCTAGGGGGGGGGACCTAGGCGGTTCATTTCAAGGGGGGCACAGAGGTACCAGCCCCCCCCCCTTCACTACGCGCCTGCGTTTTTTTGTTTTGTTTCAAGAATTGCGATTGAGCATATAAAAAGCAGAAAATAGAACATAGGAATTAGCTTGCAGTTGGGCCGTACATGGGATTTAAATACTTGAATTTCAATGTGATTAATGTCGAACAAGATTATGATTACATGTATGAAAATCTCATTATTTTTAATTATGCTGTTTATTTCTAGGCGAAAATTGCAGCCTCTAATTATTATCTTGGCAATATGCTACAGAGCGTCCCATATCATATTAGATTATCTCCAATTTTTAACGCCAAAATAAGCAAATTTAACTAAAAAATCTATCATTTTCTGCAAAAAAAAATTCTACTAACCTTATTAAATTTTTTGAAATGATTCATTCTTCTTAAATTTTCTAATTTATCCCCCAAATTGTAATTTAGACCCATTGACGCGGTCTAATTTGATGTGGGACACCCTGTATAAACATGTTAACTAGACAAACTCGAGTCGAGGAGCATGGAGCATGTAAGGTCTGACGGAAGCATGTAATTTGCGCAAAATTCTACTCAAAAGTGTACTAAAAAAGTCTACATTGTAGATGGGAAAATGTAACTGACCCCGCTATAATTTCTTAAACATCTGCGTAGTCGTTTTCAATGTATTTACAATTGTTGGAACCTGATCTTCGAAGTTCAAGCGACACTTAAAAATTAAATATTAATATCTTTAGGCTATCAAATTTCATATCAAACTAAGTTCAATTTGAGATGAAGAAAAATAATGCTTTCACTCATAAAATCTAATTAGCGGAAACTTTTATTTTGTTTTACAAATAATCAGAGTTTTAAAACTGTCCTAATGCATAGTGAAAGTTGTGGAAAAGAGTTTAAAAACACAACATTAGAAATTATTACGCCTCCCGTATTTGAAAGTTTTCTCCATGGACATGTTCTCCCGCGGATATTTAAAAAAAACTCATATGCAATGTATACATTGAATAAATCAAAAAATGTATAGGTTAAAATTAATTTAGAACTTAATTTTTTAATAAAACCTAATTTTCAAATACCAAATATAAGTTTTCAAATTGTATGTTATTACAAGTTTTTGTTTATCAAATCAATTCTCGGTGCTATTGATGGGCCGTAGATCCCGCAACAAATTCTGAAAGAACAAAAGATCTTTGCCGCAACACTTTATATCATAACAACAGAAAAATGCCGGATGTTTACATTCAAAAACAAAACAAGTAAAGAGCTTGAAAAAGTAACAAATTGCAATAGTTTTTTTTGTAAAAAATATGTTCAGATAATTTTTATTGTTCAATGGATTTAATGTCATCCTTTGAATATCGTTATTTTCTTTGTTTGACCGAATCGGTTTTTTATCCCTTGTATTGTGTATGTAGTACGTATTATAAAACAAGAATGAGTTTCAGCGTAATGTGAATGACTGAGTATGGAGATATCAGATTGTAGTGAAACAAAGAAGCGTAAATTATCTTCTACTGATGATAATATTGAACAGAGCATTGGGGATCTGTCTCAGACAACTTTAGGTACAGGTTTATCGCTACTTTATATTAATCAGTAGGAAAGGGTATATTCCTAGAGAACGATTTTTGGACCCCCATCCCCNTATGAGGGGGTGGGGGCAAAAATATTTTTCTAGGAAATTATCTGTAATTTCGTGTTGATTGATGTAACAATTAAATGATTAGTTACTGAAGAAAGAAGTATCGAAGAAGGCTCTCAACCTGGACCTTCACAAGACACTAAAGGTTTAATGTTTTTAATCCAATAAACCCATTCCTTCCTTAATGTTTTTGTTTTTTAATAACAACTAACTAAATTTGAGCACAAGCAAATTGTTCTCATTTTATCAAAATAATTTCATATCATTTAATCTTATCTTCTCCTCCAAAAATAATTACAGAAAGATATCTTATCCTTTATGATCAACTTAAAAATGACTTTTAATCAAAATCCTCAATCATTTAGATGACGACAACGTATCTGTAATCAGTGGACTCTCCGATATGTCGGGGAAAGGATGGAAGCCCGACATGTCGGTAAGATACTTTTACAACCTATTAAATTCTGTGAGCCCTTGCTTATAATTGTATCTAATCTATTCATGGGTATTATTGAATTAATCTTTCCTCCTTTCACCTTAATTTTCTCCCTGGTTAGTTATTCAGGAGTATTTATTGCTGACTTTTGGAATTTTTGAGAAGGAAAATAATATTTGTTTATATATTTATCAGGAATATCAGGAAAAAGATATATTCATATATTATAGTATTTGAAAGATAATGTTGATTTAATTGTTTAATGACAGGGTAAAGTTGGTTGGCTGCACCGAGCAATGTCCCGAGGAACAGATCCTAGAGAAATTGTTTCGAATCTCTTTAAGGCAAGATAACTGTTAATATTTTATTAACTTCGATTCATAAATCTCAATATTATCATAAAATAAATTGCTAAATTTTTTTTCTTTTTAATATTGCCCCATACCCCTTCCCCCTAAAAATGTACAACACTGAAATGTGTTTCATATGCGATCAATGTTGCCTGGAATTAATGTTAACTTTTGTTTGTCCCATGAAGGAGTCTGGTATGCTGAACACTATGGATGACCTGACTATATGGAAGGTAAATACAAACAAGAGCAACAAATAGTTATATTAAAATCTCTTAGTATACAATACTTATATTCCTCCTATACAAAGACACTTAACAACTTTATTTCTTGATCCACATTGTGACACCATCCTTAGTATACTTGTCGGTAATTCCTTTGAGAACGATTTTTGGACCCCCCTTATCAATTTTGTACATGCATCTCTTATTTAACACACGGATAAAGTTCGTCATGTGGACCCAGCGCCTGGCCTCCTATCCTGTCCTAGCCGTGGCGCTCAGCCCCATATGCCTGTCCTATTCGAAGCGCTCTTCTCCGTATGCCTTTTCTAGACGCAGCGCTCGGCCCAGAAAGTGTCTTAATCTAACCTAACCCTAAACATATACTAATTTTGTAGAAATTGAAGGTCTGCCCTGGCCGCAGCGCTCGACCCCTAGCCTGTCATAGCCTCAGCGCTCGGTCCAGAAATTGTCCTAACCTAACCTGATTCTGAAATAATACAAAAAAAACGTATTTTTTGTCGAAAATAGTTAAAATCTAGGTCATGTTAAAATTGATAGGAGGGGGACAGACCATAAGACAGACCCTACTTGATAGTATATCATGATTTTAGATTTTGTTCAATATGTTTTCTCAGCCTCCCAGACGTGAGAAACTCAAAGATTTTAATACATTAGAAGATGTTGCAAGGTAAACCCGTAAATTCAATAAAAGGATACTTGCAAAATTTTTTGGAAAAAAGTTTCGGAATGTTTGAAATTTTAGGCAAATACAACTTATAAAGTTGCTTCAAAATCAAATTTTTTGTTGAACAATCGATCTTAATATTAAGGTGCATAAAACAAGCGAAGAATATTTTGGTCTTAACGGGAGCAGGCGTATCTGTGAGGTAAGAAAAGATTCGGGGGGGGGGGGGGGCCCCCTAGATTGGGGCAACACAAATCTCCAGGGGGCAGAGTATTTTTTTGAGCCCCCCCCCTGGACCACCCCTAAAAATTTATCAAAAAGTAGTAATTTCCAATTTCTTATTTATTATCACAATTCGTAACAAAGGACCTTACTTCCCTCACTAGTCCTCTGGAGTTTGTTAATAATAGAGATAAATGGTGCTAAATTTGCACCTAAATTCTAATCCATAAGGGACAGACAAATTTATTTTCACTTTCACTGAACCTTTTGGGTTTCATTTTACAAAAACGACAAAAATGATCTTTAATTATTTTAAACCATATCCTTTAGAAAATGTCTTCAATAGCTTAAGGATCCAAAATGCAACATTTTTATTAAAAGGGGCGCCTAGAAAATCAATTTCACTGAAGAACCCACTCTTAGATTTCATTTGTCAAAAAGTAAGATAATAATAATTTTAGATTATTTGAAACCATAACATCCTTTATGAAATGTCTTCAATAGCTTAAAGATCCGAAATAAAACATTTTTATTGAAAGGAGTGCCAAGAAATCTAATATTTCTGGACACCCCCCTCTTGGATTTTATTTGACAAAAACGACTAAAATTGTGATATTTTAGAAGTACATTTATTGCTTCTAGATATAATTACATATTAAATAAAGAGTGTATAAAAGGAGAGGAAGTTGAGTAGGTCTTCTCTGGTTCCAGGATCTGACACTACTGATTAGCGGATTTCATAATTCTCTTTTGGGGATTTCATCCTCTACAATATCTAATTATTTTAAACCATATCCTTTAGGAAGTGCATTCAATAGCTTAAAGATCCAAAATGCACCATTTTTATCAAAAGGGGCGCCTATAAAATCAATTTAACTAAAAGATATATTGGAAAAACAATATTTATATATATAAATACCTGTTTTGGCCCACACACACACCTTTTCTACGCCTCTGATCAAGAAAAAAATGGTTAAAAAATTTTTCTGTCTCTTATGGATTAAAAGAAAATATGTGCTATGTTAGCACCATTTATCTTTGTTATTACAAGAGTTATTACAAACTTCAGGAGACTAGTGAGGTCCTTTTCCATAATAAACAATTTTCTCAGATCACATTGTTTGACTGTATATAATATATATTCAATTTTGAGACCTTCCAGACCTCTGATATTTGAACTTGTTAAAGTTCAATATAAATCATATCATATTAACTTTTATACATATCTAATCAAAGGTAATAATGTTGGTGGTTATCAATTCTTTTTTGAGTTCTTACTAATAATTTAATAAATCCTTTTTATTACATGTTTAATGAATTTTTACAGTGATAACCAGAAAATTCTGAAATAGGAAATGTTTTTTAAACTCAAGTTAGGACATAGCAATATTAGTTCATTGAACATTAGACATAGCAATTGTACAGTGTAAATATACCATTTTCACTTAACTAGTGTTTTGCTAAGTTACTTGTAAAAATATTCGCTTGGTAACAAAACGACTAAACCATATTAGATTTGAAATTGATTTATTAAACTTAGAAATTCTTTAAATCAATTCTTATGTTTTTAGTTGTGGAATTCCAGATTTCCGGTCAAAGGACGGTGTGTACTCCAGGTACAGTTTAGTAAAGGATATTCTATAAAATTATAACTTTGTTTGACTTTAAGAATCAAATTCGTAAATAAGAAAAGAATGAAACTAGATAAAAAATCACAAAACATGATTTGTGTAGGCTAGCTGTAGACTTTCCTGATCTTCCGGATCCTCAGGTAATCACCCCATCGTCAAGAAATTGCATGTGTAGCCTCCCCCCCCCCCTCGCCAAAATGTGTCATGTTCACCCCCCCACCTCCCAGCCTTTTGGAAAGACCTGTATTTCTAGCTGGAGTGCCCGGCGTAGCCAAGGTTTATATTATTATTCTTCGTCAGAGTTACTCCCGCCGTCAACCCGCGCTTGGTATTAAATCAAGATCAAGGGGACGATCTGCTCTAAATGCCACACATGGACACAAGCCTAGCTATACAACAAGCTATATATTGCTCCCAAATTAATGGAGACGATCCTACCTGTTTATAAAGGCAGGGTTTCAGGGTTACTCTCTCTCAGTAAACTTTACGTAGTTAATCTATAAACTGACTTTATTTAAATTTATGATGTCGAAAGTTATCGTGAATTGACTTAATTACAATTCCCACGTCGTTATTTACATCACATGATTTAGAATTTAAGACAATCATATTTCATATTTAATGCACAGTTAAAGTTTATTCATATTTATAAGATTAGCGAGAATAGATATAATGCAGTTAAGCTATCTTAACACCTATTTACAGCTTAATTTAAGTATATTACATGATGTAATCTAATCATGCTACTTATTCAATTGAAACGCAGTTTCAATGAATAATGTCATTATGTATAGGTCTACAACATAAATTGTTAATAATGTAATGTACAACGTGCTGGAGTTTTACAGAATATCATGTTTACACAATATTTGCTTCATATATACTATAAAGGGTGGATTAAAAGAGTTGGCGGGTTGAATTTGGGCCTCCATGTTTTAGAAAAATTCAACCATACCTTTTTCCTGTTTTACTTAATGATTTTTGTGCAAAGGGAATATGTACACATTAAAATAGACTGCCCAGTAAACTCTTTGCAACTGCAACCTGGATTTGAAAAAATATGTTTGTGATCGTCTTGGTTTCTGCAAAAGATTGATTCACCAGACCTCCGAGGACTCGAAGCAAGTTTTTTACTGACAAGCCTCCTTTTCAACTGTTCCATCCTCCCAACCTCAAAAATTATGTTATTTGGACCGTTAGTGATGTTCCATAATGTATTTAACCTCACATTTTTATTAAAAAATATCTATATATATATATCTATTTATAATCAAGTTGATTTATATTAAAGTTGTAATATCTGTTTGTCTGTCTGTTTATTTGTTTGTTCAATCATAACTCAGAAACCCCTGGGTAAACGTTGGGAGTAACCATGAGCGCTGGGTTCTCAAGCTAGTATGTATATATTTTATTATATACAGAAATAAGCTTTAAAAGTATATTTTATATTGGTTAACTATTCAGGCAATGTTTGACATTCAGTACTTCAGAAAGGACCCAAGACCGTTCTTTAAGTTTGCTAAAGAAATATATCCAGGTGAAACAAACTCAATTTTTGAAAAGGCTCGAATTCCAAATATATTTATTTCAGGTCAGTTTAGTCCCTCTCCCTGTCACAGGTTCATATACTGCTTAGAGAAGGCTGGGAAATTACTGAGAAACTATACTCAGAACATAGATACATTAGAACAGGTAAATGTTCAGTCAGGGAATCGTTATATTTTTATTCTTAATCCTCTTATTTTGTAGTAACCGTTGAACTGTACCATTAGTAATTGAGAAATTAAATGAATTCATTTTGATTGTAAAATTCGACCCTTCAGAAGCCACACAAATATCTATTGTTAAAATTCTTAAAATAATTTTTTAAATATAAAAATTAAAAGTGCAAACCCCAAAAAATAATTTAATGTTTTATAGTGTGACTTCACTGAATGATATTAATCATAATAATCATATTTTAGGTTGCTGGTATATCTAAGATAGTTCAGTGTCATGGATCCTTTGCTACTGCATCTTGTACTATCTGTAAGGTCAAAGTATCTGCTGAGCTGGTCAGGTAAGTCACAACCTGACTGTCAAGATGATTTCTAGAAGAGATCTCCGATTCACAAACTCACCATTTAACCCTCGCCTGAAGAAAATTTTGCAGATATCCACGTTTTTCAATCTTGAAGTATTAAATTCTGACAAATTTCTATTGTTGATTCTCTATAAAAGTGACTTGCGGATTTATGTACCACTTCCGATTTGATACTTCTCCATTGCTTAGGATCCATTTAATTTTGATGCAAATCTGGATCCGGATCCTGGATCCGCACTGGGAAAAATGGATCCGGATCTGGGTCATTTCTTTAAGATTTGCAGAATTTTTTTAACAAAAATAATTTTCAAATTTTTTGTTTTATTTTTTTTCGCTTAATATTAATCCAAAACATGATGAACCATTCAGAAATGAGGAAATTTTTATTTTCTCTTTTTTTTTAAGTTCAGAGTTGGGTTTTAGGAGTAAAAAAGTTGTTTTTGCAGTTTTTGGTTGATATTTTACCCTTTGGATCCGGATCCGTGGATCCGCATATTTTCGCGGATCCGGATTCGGATCCAGGAAGCCAAAATCTTGCGGATCCAATGGATCCGGATCCTAAGCACTGCTTCTCCTCCTCAATATTACTCAGATAAGGGTGTACATGTTGCCTTTGTGAATCGGGCGTGCAGGTGTTTGAATATCCTTTCATCCTCTCGTCTATTTAGTTTTCATCCTTTCCGACCCTCCTCTCTGTTCTTTTCAGTCTCTTATTCTTACAGCATTTGTTCTTTCATCAATGTATCTATTTAATTTAATGTATCTTTCTATTTGGGTTTCCTTTCAGACCTTAAAGGGACTGTAAGCGTTAATTCATTTGACCTTTCATACAAAAATGGCAATTCCCGCTTCACAATGGTATTAAAGCTTTGTCTGATCAAGTCTTTTTTCCCATTGATCAATGGTTTTGTTTCATTAAACTTTCTATTTTCATTTGCGGTTTCTCTACGAAAATGGCCTGCGCATTTCTTGTCCATAAGAAGCAATGGAGAAGTTCACAGAAATAAGGTTACGAGGTTAACTTTGTAAATAGGACATTGCCATTTTTAAATGGAAGGTCACTTAAAATTACGTTGACAGTCACTTTAAGTGTTTATGTTTATCTAATCTTCCTGCCCGTGGTATTTGTTGTAATTTTTGGAATTTTTTTTAGAGAAGATATAATGAAACAGAAGATTCCACTCTGTCCGAAATGTCCTACTCCAGATCTACAGGTGAATTATTTTTCATTTTTAAATAAAAAACTGAATTTCAATATATTTACCAGTAACATATTATTTCCTAATAGACTTCTAAAAATCATTTTTCTTGCAAACGTGTCTCCGATTAAATGGGTTTTTTTTTGGCAGGAATTCGAGATTGTTCTGAGAAGTATTAAAATGCTTAAATTCGTTTTCAAATTTATTTTAAAAGCTCGAAAATTATAATTACTATTAAACATGTTATAATACTGTATTATAATTTTCAGGATATTCTGTCAAGCTTGTCTAAAGCCAAAGAGGAAACAACTGAACCTGATCCGTCCTCCCTGTCCCCCACCTCCTCACCCTCCTCCTCAGCTCTACCCAATAACAACACCGTCCCCCCTCAACTCAAACCTGGAGAGCTTAACGCTAAACCTGGTGCTGCTGACCCTGGGATAGTTATTGACGATGTTCGCATGCCCAGCCTTGATCCTGTTTCTCCCTTCACTAGTGTACCCATTATGAAACCTGATATCGTCTTCTTCGGAGAGGTAAAGAAATTTTTACAATTTTAGGGGGATTTTGGTTTGTAAAATTTTGAAGAAAAAATGACAAGTTTTCCCGCCATTTTGATAATTTGTACCATTTATTAGTTATCTCTTAAATCAGTTTTTCCCTCCCTACTTCAGTAATTAAAAAAACCTAAAAATTATTTCAGTCCGTTTACTCATCCCTTCAAATCTTGACGGGGAAGGGTAATGATTATTGACAAGGAGTTTTCAACCAAATATTATTAAAATTATTATTATTTCTGACATTCAACCTACAGTCAAAGTTTCATGTTTTGTAGGCTATAATATATTCCTGAATTAATTATAACTTGAATTGTATAAAGTTTTCAAAATATTTGTCAAGACTAGATGAAGTTGTAAATTGATCATCAATTAATGTAATTCTAATTCATATTTTCCTCGACATAGTGCATTCTTAGTGAATTCCACTGCTCATCGGTTCTGACTATTTTATCGAAGATTCTATTTATCATTTTTACGATTCAAACTATATAGTCTAAGTATTATGTCCTGTTACGATGAGCTCCAGGGTCGAGATCCTGACGACTCAGAAGATCATAACTTATTGAAATCAAGGGTTATATTATAATATTAGCTTGCAGGCACGTGCAGAGGGCGAGGGGACTGCCCCCATGTGATTTATGGGCAAAGGTTAAAATCAGTTGTGGTGGGTGAAAAATGAGCCTGCCTTCATCTTCAAAGCGGTGTTATCCCCTAAAAGTAGTTGAAGCCATTTGTTTTCAAATTTTACCTTTGTATTTCCTTTTTATCTAACCCCCCCCCCCCTCCCCCCTAATGGATGAACAATTATAGCTATATTTATTAAAAGTATTTTGGCATGTCTTCCCGCAACCCCCATGAAGGTCAGGTAGAGATTACATTAGTAGAATATTAAGGGAGAATAAAGAGGAAGGAGGAATGATAGTCTTCAGAGACTACTCAGGACTTTCGAGAGTAATACAGAACTATGCAGAGGGATACATTATAATATATAGTCCTTGAATTTGAACTACAATGAGCTACATAGGGGACATATAGAAGACTTCTTATAAAATAACAGCATTTTTAAGGCCACGGGTGGAGGGGGCAAAAAATCGCCTAGGGAAAGAGCAAAAGCTTCGCGTGAAAAATTGCCCCCCCCCCCTGCACTGCCTAAAATCCAGTGTACGAGCCTGTTAGCTTGCCTTAAAACTAAAAGGGACTTTCTGCGAAAAACGTGACTTTCATTTTAAAGAGTTACATTTTCGATTCACAATTTTTTGAAAGCGTCATTTTGGTAACTGTGAGGTTGACATCGTTGTTGTATTCTTATTCTAAAAGAGAAAAATTCTGTTAATTTAATTCATCATCTCTGCTGCTTAAATCCAAAACTAATTATTACAGAGAAACCTCGGTTGGAAAGTATCATTTTTTATGGAACAACTGGAATATCTACATAATTTTTGTCCAGACAAAGCTTAAAAGGCTACCGTTACTTACTTGAAATTACGTCGACAGTCTTTGTAAGGATATTTTTAGCTTACGTTTTCTGCTTTAGGGTCTCTCTGACGAGTTTCACACTGCTATATCCAAGGACAAGGAAAAGGCCGATCTTCTTATCGTCATAGGATCAAGTCTCAAGGTGAAATATTCGGCCATCAGTCGATAAAACCCAAAGTTTTAATGTTAAAATCTAAATTTTATCTCTGTTTTTTCTTACTTTATTGATAGATAGTATATTTTACATTTAGGTGCGCCCTGTTGCCTTAATACCTTCATCTATACCTGAAACTGTGCCTCAGATACTTATCAACAGGTAAACAGAGATTTGATTTTTGTGGATCCATTTTATTTTTGTTTTATTTTTATTTTTCATCCATGATAAATCCTTAGAAAATAATCCTGAATTCCTGATCTAACCCCGATAGTTCTCAACTTTATAATTCAATTTGTGATATTTTATTTGAAATATTTAAAAAATGTGTATTTTTAAATTTTATTTTAGATTTTTGCGTGTCATCTAACTTAATCCCGATCAGAAACTCGGGATTTTTAGCCTGGCTCAATATTTTTTAAAATAAGTTTTCCTAAATTTGTAAATGAGACTCATTTTCTCATCTCATCATACAACCTTAGGAATATTGGTCAAATTATTGGATATTTCGTTCAATTTTATTTTTCTTGCAGGATTTTGAGTTTAATTTTGCTTATGTTTGTGATACATAATTAATTTAAATTTTAGAGAGAGATTATCACATTTAACCTTTGATGTCGAACTTCTTGGAGATTGTGATACAATCATCAACCAGCTCTGCCACATGTTAGTAAAAATATATTTTCAAACAGGTTTTTTTGCACTTTCCAACGTTTTTAAATACAATGTTTGTTTTTCTGTTTTTTTTTTTAAGAATCTTGATAAACCGTAAAAATATTAAATTCTATATGTATTTAACCTCAAAAGATTGTTTTTATTGGAAAGCTAAATTAATTCCCTTGAAAATTATAAGAGTATTTGTTAAAGGTTGGAAGGAGACTGGTCTCATCCCATCCATCAGCCTCCTCTTAAACAAATTCAAAACTTTGACCTTAGTGGCTCTATGGAGGATTCAGATAACCAGGAGGACTCTAAGTCTAGCACGGAGCTGGATGTCTCAGCGACAGAGACAACCGAAGACCTGGAAACGAATGAAAAGACTGAGTCTGCAGTTTTGAGAGAAGGACCTGGAGATGGAGATAAAATGGAACCCGGAAATTGTCTGGAAACTATAACTGAAAAAAGTGTAAACGTAGCTGAGAGTAGCGCGACAGGAACTGATCAAAGCGTAACTGGAACTGATAGACGCGGAACTATGACTGAGAAAAGCACAATTGGAATGGAGAAACATGTAGCTAGAGTCGAGAATGAAGATGATGATGATGAGAATAGTCTGGATCGTACAAGAGAAAGTGAGGAGTGGAAACCGAAACCAAGTCTCTCAGAGTCTCTTCCTGAGGGACGATTTCTCTTCATCCCTCCTAACAGGTTAGACATTGTTTTCCGCGTTATCTATTTTTCAACCGGTTTCTTTTTCTTTATGTCAAACCTCTGTAAAAACCATCTCTTATTGTTCTATGTTTAGGGGGGGGGGGGGTGAACCTAAGGATGACAGAAACGTAATTTTTCTTCTTCTTTAATCTTAAAATCTGGACTGGAGCGTGAACCCTCTTCTGTTGTTATGATTTGGTAGGTTATAGGAAAGACTGTAAGACTCTAAATTCTAATACGTCTGAAAATTTCGAGTTTTTAAGAACATTTTTACCAAATTCTTGGCATTTTATTTTTGTTTAACAAATTTTGTTTATTGTAAATTTTAAGCCACTTAAGACTTTTCTTTTGTTCTAGGTATGTGTTCAGTGGGGCAGAGGTTCAACCCGAAGATTTATCAGATAACGAGGAGTATGACGAGGATGATGATGATGAAGAAGATCTCGAGGAAGAAGGTGAATGTGAGGAAAAGGAAGATGAGAATGAAGAAGATGATTCTAAGAGCGAGCCAGATGATGAGCATGACAAAGAAAATAAGCAGGTTTGAGTCATGAGGGTTTTATAGGGTCAAGTGTTGTTTTCTTGCCAAATAAAAGTCATTTTCACAAAAACTGGGTCTTCTTTGTAGTCGTTGCATGGCTAAAAGTTGGTCGAGTGACTACTTACTTTAGAAATTGCCCAATCGAATGTAATTTTGCACTCTTACTTTTATCAGACTGAAAAACCAGGACATGGAATGAACTTGAACATCCAATTCACTACTGGAGTCTAATGCCATCACTACCCCCTGTGTTATGATTAATTTGACTGTTCCGCCGTTTTTTGTTTGTTTTTAAAGTTCGGCATATTAAAAAATACTTACCATTTTGCATACACGGTGTAATTTTGACTTTTCACCTTTTTTTTCTCAATTTTTTTTGTGATTGAATTGCTATGCTTTTAAACCAGTGTTCGATGGAAGCTAGGGTGGTAGATAGGAATTAATTAATTTTCATCACCTTTTTTCCAGACTGTTGAAGCTGAAACGAATTTGGTTGAAAACGAAACTGGGAATCATTAAAAGAAGAAAATATGCTAAGATTCTGGACTGTTCTGAACTAAATTAAGCTTTAGTAGTGTGGCAGGGGTTAAGCCGAAGCTCATTTATAACAGAGATCTTTGATTATTTTAGTTTCTGACTTATTCGAATGAACTATGCAAACTATAAACTTAAGTATACAAAAATATTTAGTACAAACACTAAAGAGAAAATTATAGTATATTTAATTATATTAAAGTTTGAAACTTAACGGATCGCTGACGATTAAAAATAATATCTGACATTTTAAGAGCGCTTTTTTTTCTTATAAAAGGGAGATTATTGTTTTATATAGATTTTGGGAAATTTATTCCCCTTTTTTTAGAAGATTTTTTATCAAAGGGATTCGATCAGTGCTTATTTTACTAGAAGGCTGAAAGTAATTTTGTTTGATTAAATTGAATTTTTTCTTAAATTTTAACACTTTTGTTTCTAATCACTTCTTTAAATATACACCAAAATTGGATTTATAGAGTGTGCACTTTTGAAGTTTATACATATATATAGAATGTTGTAAATTCGCGAAGACTGCAAATGAATCCCGTTTTACCATTGCCCCATCTCCCCCACAACAATTTAACGCCTTTTCCAAGTGACCTTATTTTTTTTAACACCATGTGAATGGATTACTCGACAATTTTGTCAAAAATTTCACGGAAATTTGGACTTTTTTCAATTTTGTTTTATAATATTTAAAGATTTTTCTATTGTTTGATTTTGTCTAAAATAATTGGGATCAACCAAGCTCCCCTCTCCCTCCTCTAAGATAATTAATCTACTTGAGTAAACAAATTTACTTTTGATTGCTTACTGTCAGTGCAGTGCAGATCCGAATCTAAACAGTCTAGAGTGTCTTAAATCATTATGAAAATAAATATAAAGGTGTCTTTATATAAATAGCTTTCGCCAATTTCCTTATTCCTTAACTTAAAACAAGGCTTAAATTAACTTGAATTTTGAGACTTTTGACCTAGATTCGTCTTTTCGGCTTAAGGAACGTAAACACTGTCAGTGTCACGTAAATTAATTCCGTCCATTGTGGTTCACCTGTACACTGCACTTATCTCAGAGCTGGGAATTTAAGCAAGTATCGTTGAAAGAAACTCCCTAGTTTTCTTTTTGGGGGTCTAAATTTGCGTAGATGTTTTTTAGAAAAAAGAAAACAAAAAAAGAATATAAAAAAACACATGAAATGATATTTCTTAAATAAAAATATTGCTATCTTAAAAACTGCCTGACCCCATTCATTAAACTGGGTTTCCGATACTGCGTTTCATTACGATACTCTGTCTTAAGTTTTGGGCTCTGGCTGTGTGGTTTTGTTGAGTCATTCTGTACTTGGTATTCAGGGCACACTGTACTCCAACATAAATCGAAACTTTTTACTGTATAAAATTAAGTACAACACTTGGTACCAAAACTTTAAAGATTTAGAAAGTTAACAAATATATATTTTGCAGAATACACAATGGCAGATGTTACAGAAGAAGATATTGTGAAAATGCGTTTACTTTTTGACGGAGATGGATTAGGTAGGACTTTTTTATATTTAGATAGATAGATAGATAGATAGATAGATATTTCGGCTAACATTATAATAAATACATTTTACATTTTACATTTTATAATTTTTTATTAAACAATTATGAGCCAGGGCTACAGCCTAACCATTTCTGGTTGTTTTAATTGGCTGGCCCTCCAAAGTTTTATAGATACATTTTATTTTTTAAAATTAACAAATAACGAATACATTACACAATTCACAAAGTAATTTAAAAAAAGGGGAAAAAAGAAGGATGGGTGAATAGCAAAGTGAAAAAGGGAAGAGAAGGAGAAACCCCAGCACTAAAAAATCCAATTTTTGTAGATAATATGTTACAGAGTGGTTTACAAGATTTTCAAATAACATGAGTAGCAGTTCCTGTTTTTACATTTAAATTCCTTATATTTAGAAGCCAGATATATTTTCATATTCGTTTTGAAAATAAGTACTGATAATGAACATTTAATATTCATTGGAACACTATTCCAAATTCTCGTGAGAAATATTTTTGGAAAAGGTAAGATATGTGTTTCTTATTAATTCCAATTTAAAAAGTTGTGTCCTATTAGGTTCTACAAATGGAGCAAACATTCCATTAAAAGACGAAGGAAGTTTTTCTTTTATATATTTATACATAAAAGTAGAAGCATTATGATGAGAAAAAAACTGAGTAAATCAGTTTTATTTTGGTTTTATTTTATGGTTATATATATTTTTCAAAACGGAGGGGGGATGACTTTTTAACACAATATTTCCCCCCGTATTATATTTAGTTTATCTTGTTTTGCTCAGGAGACGAAAGACGAATGAATATGCTGCTGAGGAACCTGATAAAGTTTGCAAATGTAGAAAATGAAACAGATAAATTCCACGAGGTAACGTAATCCGATTTTACCATTTTTAAACTAATCAAATTAAATCATTTTTATTTTTGGTTTTATTTCAGGGTTATATATTTTTTATGGGGGGGGGGGGGAATGACTTTTTAAGAGAAAATATCCCCCGTTTAACATTTAGTCTTCTTTGATTTACTTATTCAATCTTTCAATTTTAGTTTCCTAAATTGGCAAGATTAAATGTGGGGTTGGACGTATATGTTGTCTGTGTTTTTTTATGAGCTACTTTCCCTTTCCCATCACATAAAAAATTAGTGATTTTTTGCATTTTTTAAAAATGGTATATTGTTGTAGACCCAGTATCAGCGGATGCTTGGACAGATTACAGGGTTAGAGTCGAGTATGTCTAGATCTAGTGTCATCACTAATATGAACAGGGTAATCATTTTTTATTATTTATTAAAGGTTTTATCACAATAACTAAGTTCCACTTTGAAAGGAAAATGGTGCAAATATGTTACCAATAAAAAATCAAAAATCTTGAGTTCCGTAAATAACATTTAGAATTAACGAGAAACATTCTCGATTTACAGCTAAACCTATAAAGCGTTTACTTTTCTATCTTAATAAATAAACTCTGTCGATTTTCTTCCTTCGCTTAGCTTTAAAAGTCCGGTTGTTACTCTAGAAGTTAACCCAAAAGGTATTTATATATTTAAAATAGTTATCTCTATTTGGGAACATAGCTCATGAACCTTTAAACCGATTTGCCTCAAATTTGATTTTGGGAACACTGTAGAACCACGGTAATGTTATTAGCTTTGTTTAAGAATTCTGAAAGGAGGGTTGAGTTTTATGGAGAAAATATAGCTGGGTTCCTCTCGAAAAATTTTGCTTTGACAAAGGTTGAAGGGTTTTGTTTAAATGGGGAATTACTTTAGATAACTTACACTGTCTCTTTAAGAAGAAGAATTAAATATTTTTAAAGGACGAGGAGAGGAACTATATCGACCTGGAGAAGAAAATTGAGCAGGGGATAGAGGAGGCTAGGACGGAAATAGAGGTCAGTCAATCACTACTTTATAATATTCAGCATATATTTTCCGGGAAAATTAAAAATCTTCATCGTTGAAAAAAGTTGAAAAACTGTTCAACTACTGTCAATTCTCCATAGTTTTTCCCTCAGATTACCTTTGAATAAGTTATTCGATTTTGGTCCAGATCAAGATCTTGGATTTGTCTTGGTAGAATTGACCCAGTTCGGTTAGCCCATGGATACGTTTCGGCGGCTAGGAGCGCCGACCCCTATTTCATTGAATGATGGGTTGTCCTTTAATAATAATAATAATCAATATTTCTTATTGAAAAAAATATCGGAAGTTCCTTTGGTTTTGGTTTATTTTTTGCTTTGATTTTGAATATGTCTTGTAAATATTGATCCGGATAATCAATATTTATTTTATTAAAATTTTACCGAAAGTTTTTTCTTTTTCTTTGCTTTTTTTTGCTTTAAACTTGAGATAATGGTTGTTTAATTAATATTTCAATGAGATTGGATATTAAGTGTGTCGAGAAGAATTTACTTGAATAGAGATTTTAACTAAATTTTATATTACTTTTTCTCCGACGTTTCTGACTATAATAATTTTGTATTCGATTTTTTACTAATTATTTAATTCTTTAACTAAATATTTCCAGGAAACAAAGCTTGAGCTTGAGGAAGCTAAACAAATCCGCAAAAACAGATTAGAGTATGATGAGCTTGGAAAGGTATAATTTGTTGAAGTTTTGACCAAAATTAAAATGCATTATTAATTTACATCATGAAATATTTCAAGAGATGGTTCCTTTTCAGGAGGGTAATGAGGTTGGTGGGAGGGGAGGGGGGGTCAATGAAACATTTAATAAGAAAAATAACATTATCAAACATTTAGTGTCTTGCTTGCGATTAGTGCAAAGATTTAATTATGTCTAGATAATCCTGGAGCATCCTGAGCGAGGGAGTTCTATGGAGCGGATCAAAACTATCCAAGACGAGCAGGAGAACCTGCGCATGCGTGAGAAACAGCTTGAGGAAAAGCTAGAGCAGCGTCGTAAACAGTTTCATGTTCTCATCTCCAATATTCATCAGCTACAGGTAAAATAATTTATGTTGTTTCTTGGATTTCATTATTATGGAGCCGATTTGATTGTTCCAGTAAAGTTCTTGTGATTTGATTTTTGTTAAATCGTCATTTGAAAACTGATAAATTAACATCAGGCTTTTGAAGATTTCATTTATTTGCACAGAACACGAAACTTTGGTTATAAATATGAATAAAAGTATAAATTAATGATGATAATTAAAATATCAAGTTTATTTTGTCAACTAATTAAAAAATAATTTAATGCTGAATTGGTTGAATAAATGACCTTTTGATTAAGTAGTAAAAATTGGAAAGAATTGTGCCAGTTGATGTTTAAAAAAATCTCGAATTCTCAAATCACTAGAATATCATTTTCCCCCACCAAGGTGGAATTTTTCAAAATACAAACCCCTGGGAATATTTGTTATTTTTAGAGTTTGATCGAGGAAGAAGATGGAGCAGTAATTAACAGTGATGATGAGGATCAAGATCAGGTTTTAAAATGTTTATTTTTAGATCGTGGTTTTTTTTTCCCAAAAATCTGCCCCCCTTTATTTTGTTAAATGTAAAGGATGAGACTTCCGAGACGACTTGTATAATATACTTTGCATGCTTGTCTGTTTGTTTGTTTGTATCCAAGAAACGTCAAAACGGCTGAACTGATCGGGCCCAATTTTTGTGTGGGACCTTGCGTGACCCCAGGAAAGGTTACATTGTATACAAAGAGAACATGTTCACAATTGAAATAGAACATGGGTACGAAGCGATTGATACTTTCACAGTTTTTGCTTGTTTTTCTAAATCATTTAGATTTTTTTTTACTAATACTATATTTAAGGCTAGAAGACGAGCCTCCAGATCTTTTAATAGAGGGTTTCAAATCATCATTAAAGTCGCATTTTGTTAACATCTATCTACTAGCCTAATAACTAAAACGATAATGAGTTTTGGATTTATATCAATCTTAAACATTGTATAGTTTTTCTTGTTTTAGGATGAGATTACTATATTGAACTCCTCACAGGAAAAGCAATAGGGAACGGAACCTTCTTGTGAAGACAGAATATTACGCTGACTATCACAAGCCCAAAAAAAATCCTATGACCACCCGGATATTTTGCTGACCAATGGACCATCTGGAAGTTTGTTTGAACATAGGCATTTCTGTTGAACATCCAGAAATTCCGTGGACCATTAGGAGAGTATCATAAAATCCAGGAAGAAATTGGGAAATTCCTGGGACCATCAGAAAAATCTTCATAAAATGGGAAATTCTGTCGATCATCATAAGATTTTGCTGACCACCAAAAAACTTAAAAATACCAACCATCTTCTTCTACAAACCAGAACAAGATCTTAGTTCTAAAATTTTTGAAATGTATTTCCAATATATTTGTGTTTAAATCACTTCTTTTGCATTTGTTGTACTTTCAGAAGTGAGACAAGATTTTGCTTGATTGATTGATTGATAAATTGCTGAAAATGGAACCAGGGGAGAGGCTAAAGAAGAGGAAGAAGGGAGAAGTCGTGAAGGTATTTGTTTTGAGTTCCTAATTAAACCTGTCAAATCAACTTTTGTTCAAAAAACTCATTTGGTAAATTCTAGACTATAAGTATGATACTAGTGCAGTCTAAATAAGACAAAATTCGTTCTAACCTTTGCTGGTCAAGCAAGCTGGTCTAATCAAACAAGTTAAACTAAAAAAAGTTCGTTCAGTCGCCCTTGAAATTACAGTCCTGGACATTTTCTTTTTCACAATAGTTGCTGAAACCTATAATTCCCTAACTAAAGCATCTTGGCTGCATTTAATCATTTTCAGATTGTCAGATAAAGCATTAATTAAAAGTTTAATCTATTCAACATTTTGAATCTGTTTAACAAGAATTATTCAGGACCGGAAACTGTTCCGGCGTTGTAGGAAATGTGACAACTGCATGAGGTAATTTTAAAACTATATAGCATTTGGCGTTTCCTCCGATTGAAAGCATTTTGCTTGTGTAATGTGTATTGCAAAATCGCAGAATAAGATACATTTAGGTCAAAACTTGAAGTGCAGCTTACGAGCATAAACCATTGAACTATGCTAAGCTAACGTGCCGGTCACCCCAATTTTTTTGGAAGTCCGGTGCGATGGTAGGGGCCTGGTAGTTTTTGAAAGCTAACAGCTGCATGTTGATAGATAGATAGAAGACGACCTCTAAGCAATACGTGTCACGAATGAATCACAATGAATCTTTTCTCATCCATTTCTTTTGGCAACAGAAAAATATGAAAAATATTTAATACTATCGTAAATGATACATATCCTCAGAAGAAGACTGAAAATTTAAAAAATCAATTTTGACCTGTCGGGTGTTTTTTTTTTCTTTTTTCAAGAATATTCGGGTGTTTTTTTTCTTTTTTCGGAGGTATCTTCTCAAACAAAACAGTAAGAGCCGTTTGAAATATAGAGGCTGTCCTTTGGATCTAGTTAAACTTGAAATGGGAAGTTTTTTTTTAAATTATCACTTTGAAAAATGTTTTCGTTAACATGGGCCTAACCTCGATTGTTTTTAGGACAGAATGCGGAGTATGTAAGCACTGTGTGGATATGCCTAAATTCGGAGGTAATATACCTCTTCTATGTATCTAAAAAAAATTTGTGGGGGGGTGGTATCTTTTTAAGCAGTATTAAAGGATAAATCACAAAAAATCTTGATTTTTTTTCCGCTGCCAGCATTTCTTATCATTTATGCCACCACAGTCTACAATGCAATTTCTTGATTTAATATGCTTAAAAGGAGTGTTCGCAAAAAATTAAAGGGGGTATATAGGCTTACGGCAATAAATAATTGCTTTTGATCGCTACTAATCTGTTGCGTTTATAAGGAGAAAATTGTTAATAACGACTTGTACCAAAGAACGAAAGTTGCAACATATAACTCGGATTGTTAAAAAATATCAACTTAATATCAAACAAATGATTTAGATATTAAAACCTATAGTCATAGATTATTTTTCTACGTATTCGTATATAGTTAATATTTCATAATATTTGTTATTTTTTTTTTATACAATGCATTTAAAATGACGTTTTTTCCACTAGGTGTCTCTCTGCCACTTGTAATCATTCAAAGCATCGAGAGCAGAGAAACCTGGCGGCCATTTTTTTCGGCGTCTTAAGTGCATTATAAACCAAACAAATAAAAATTTTTATGAAATATTAACTACTTGTGAATGCGTCGAAAAGTAATCGATGACTAAAGGTTGCAATATCTAAATGATTTGTTTGAAATGAAATTGATTGTTTTACGATCCGAGTCGTATATTGCACCTTTCTCAATTTGTATGGATGCGTTCTTGAGTATAAGTCGTTTTTAACAATTTTCTCCTTAAAGTCTTATCAGATAGAAGTAAAATTAGTAGAGATCAAAAGCGATCATTTTTCGCCTTAAGCCAAATACTCCTTTACATTTTTCGCGAACACTCCCTTTAAAGAAAATAGTTATAAGTGATGGGGCATATGCAATACAACGCTACTCTTATATGTTTGCTGGATCAAGAGTGAATGAGATGACCATTATTTCTCTTAAAATGATTGATTATTTTACTTATTATACATTAAAATTCAACTTGGATATACGCAGGGAGCTATAAGTTGAAGAAGGCCTGCATTGAACGAGAGTGTATTGTTAGCATAAAAAGTAAACAGGTAATTCAATTTTTCCAATTCTTTCTGTTTTTTTATAATGTCAAATCAAAATCCTGTTTCTCTACTCTTTGTTTTTTCCTGATTTGTTTTGCATATTTTGTGGTTTACAGTTCTTCTTTTTCTGATCTTCTGCGTAGTTTATGAATTTATGTAGAATACAATACTTCAAAAAAAATGTTTGCGTTTTTATGTTTTCCTTAATTTACTAATAGAGTGATTGGTGGACTGAATAATTGACGAACTGATTCATTGTGAAGTTTGTAAACTCGTCGGCTGATTAATTAAATGATTGTTAGACTATTTGACTGTAAATATTTTCCACTTATTAACTGTTAAATTATAGACCGTGAACAAATGGTAAACTTATTAATTGTTGGACTTATCTGATAATCTCAGGACCCTGACTTGAAGAAGATATGCCTAGAGGAGAAGAGAGCTGTTCTCAACAGCTCAATGGCAGTACAGTACGCTAACGGCAAAACAGTCATGTACAGGTAAAAAGTAAAGAAACTAGTTCGGAATGTTTTTCTTAGCTTATATTTCTTGCGTAAGAAATTTTTCCTTTGTCTAATTGTTACATAAATAAAAAAAATTTTTGAAGGAGGGATTGAAGAATTTATTATCAAATTATTTGATAATGAGAATCATAAAATTGTGGAACTGGAGTGGAAGAATACATTTAAATAATCTTATACGCATTTGATGTTGTTATTTAGTATAACTTAAAACTATAGTTTGAAAATGAACTTAATTTGAGACTATTGCGTATTCCTATTCCAAAATGGGAATCACCATTTCAGATCAGTTTGTCTACTTAATTTTATTTTGATTTAAGGCATGGTAATCTACAAGAATTTACCATTTTTTCAGTGGGCAAAAGACAGGGGTTCTTAATAACACAACTCACTCAGTTTGATCTGAAAATTTCACTTGATAAGTTGTTGTGATTAAGTATAATTTTACAAATGTTTTTATATTGACTTTTAAAGTGAGATTTGCCTGCAGCATCAAGAGTGTACAAGATAAATTGTTTAATATTTATCTTGCTTTAGATCTGGTGAAACAATGCACAACGGTAAACTGTTAATAATCGATCCGAACCAGAAGAATAAATCAGATCTTGCCAATGGATTTCTACACTCCAAACCAATAACCCTGACCAAACCTACAGCATTGAGAACCAAACAAGTACCTACTCTAAACCAAACTCAACTCATTTATCCTCCGAGCAGACTCCCTCGACCTGAAATAACTACCACGGTATCTGAACCTGTGCCTGAACCTAGACCAGTGCTGGGCGGAGCTGAACCTAGATCTGAAGATCTAAACATTGATGAGTTCGTGAGTCGGTATCTGGAGGACTACTACAATGACAAGGGATTGGGAGAAATTGTCGACCTTTGTATGGGCGAGGCTGATCTTAGGTTTGACGAGGACACTCTGAAACACTCAGAGAATGAGTTTAAATTAAAGGTTGACCACCCAAAACCCGACCTAGGGTTAAACGAGGATGATCTGAAGCTTGAGACGAGTCTCCTGGGTCGGCCAGATCCCGAAGGTCCGTTGAGAGTTGGCTCTGGAGAGGTTATGAGACTCGAAGACACTGAGGACCTTACAAGGCTGTGCTCTGGGGACGTGATAACCCTTGACTCTGAGGATCTGATGGGACTAGGAGAAGAGGACATGACAGGGGTTGAGGATACTGAGGAACCGAGACTGGACTTTACTAGAATTGGTTCTCGACTCGGTGGTGGAGATTTTACTCGCCTGGGCTCTGGAGACTTACTTAGGCTTGGGTCTGGAGAGATTTTAAGGTTGGGTTCAGGAGAGGTACTGAGGCTGGGAGAGGCTAGAGAACTGCTAGAGTGCGGTCAGCTGAGCAAGGGTAGTTGTCAACACTGCTCTATACTATCTAAGGGACGGATACTTCTTATAAATTAAATGAATCAATAATGAATTAAGATTTGTAAATCATCATTTTCAGAGAGCGGGGAAGGCAGGGGGCCATGAACCACCAATATTTCCTCTTCTGGGCCACAAATTAGCTTTTTTCTCTTCCGGCAGCCATGAGCCACCACTATTTCCTCTTCCGTACCACCACATTTGACTCTTCTCGGCAAAACTACTTTTTTAAATGATATATTTAAGGCTTTTAAAGTGTGATTTTCAAAAATATATATTGAAGTGTTTATATGTAAACTGCAAAACTTTTTTTGTAAATCTGAATTTTGATTTTCATAAAAAATGGCTTATTTGTGATAGTAATATGAATTTTAAAAATGACGCACCATAAAATACACTTCAGTTTTGAAGGTTACCCTTGTGTGAAAATATGCAATGTGTTAAGAGAAAATTGCTTAAAAACGCTTTTTTATAAAATCTGTAATGCGTAAGCAATGACAGTAAATATTGTGATTTTAATAATATTTTCTTAGTCTTCAGACTACTCTACTATACGAAAAATTACTTAGTTTACCTACTAAAATCTAATACAAACCACCTCTTTTTTATATATTAATATATTAATCTTATGTAGAATTGATAAAATGGTTTGAGTTGTACTTTTTAGTGTGACGCGGCTGGATTTTTAAAATAACACTTATAAGTCCCTATATGTACCATTTAAAAAAGTTGTTTAGCCCAGAAGAGTCAACTGTGGTGGCCCGAAAGGCGAAATAGTGGTGGTTCATGGTTGCCGGAAGAGAAAAAAGCTATTATGTGGCACGAAAGAGGAAATAGTGGTGGCTCATGGCCGCAGCTGCCTTCCGCCGCTCCTCTAATAGTAAATTTAAATTTAAATCGTCTTTCTTTTATTTACTTAATTATAGTTTTATTTCTCATATTATCTTCTTCCTAAACACAAGATCTACATTAATATAGAAGTACACATTTCGCCAGGCCGTTTTCATCGTTTACTTTTGTAAAATTTCCGTACTTTCATTTTTATTTTGCGTACAGTTACAACATACCGATGTGTATTAAAGTACACAAAGGTCATTGTGTACGAGTTGTGGACATTCCACGTTTCTGCTGCAGGGCTAAATATGTTTTAGACAAAAAAAAAAACTTTTTCTTGGTGGTCAAACTTTTACGTTTTTCTTGGAAAAATATTTTTTTGTTTAAGGTCATTTTTTCCTCTGTTTTGCAAAAGTGGGAGTACTTTGATTAGTAGTCTCAAATCTTCATTCTAGAATTTTCAGTTTGCTTTAGGCTTTAGATCAGATTGGAACCAGTTTTCTTATCTTTGTCTCGGTTATGTTAATAACTGAAAAACTCTTAAACTTTTTCTTATTTATATCTTAAACCGGTATTTCTGGAATATATATTTTTCTGTTTTGATAATTATTCACTTTTTCATTGTCCTCATATTTAATTTTGTAAGTTGGGCAATTCCCATTAAATGTCACGTCCTGTACCAAGAAGGTGGGCAGTTGGAAAGTTAAAGTTTTTCTATATTTTTTAAATTTCGGTTATTTCTTTCAAAAAAATAAGTTGGTAACTCTTTATAATAAGATATTATCTTAGTTTTTAATGTTATAAAATCGAATGGTAGTTTTTAGCTTTTGGTTTCTTTTTTTTATATACTGTTTCCTGATATTACTATGTGTCACTTCCTAACTTGTTTCACAATTTTGTCGCAGTTTTTTAAAACGGATATTTTTTGTTGTTTTACCATAAAAAAGTTACCAATATAATAGTGAATAAAACTTGTTAATGTACTTGTACTTGATAGTTAAAAGGGTTATTACTTACTTTTAAGAAGTATTCTTTTCTAGTGCGGGAATTGTGTAATCAACACCGCTCTCAGAGAGATTGGGAACATAATAGATATCTACTAGGTTAACCACTCCCTAGGATATCAACTAAATCTACTAGATATATAACTGCTCAAGACATCTCGGAAATCTACCACTTAACATCTGTCAAGTCTACCACGATTTCTACAACCTACTAATCATAATGTTTAAAATATCTTCTAGTTCAATCATTTTTGAAGATATCTACTATTTCTAGCAATAGCATTGTACAGGATACCTTGTTAATGAAGTATTGCACTACTTAATTTTACATATCCAACACTATTCTAGATATCCACCATACAAATAGACATATACCACTTGTCAAGATACCTATACCTAATCTATATATACATCTGCCAAGCATCTAGATGTCTGCCATTCTTCTAGATATCTACCACGCATACTAGATGCTGGATCTGCAATGTTTTATAAATCAACCAATGTCTGCCTATCTTTGTTTGATGAATCTGGTGTCATTTCTTTCAAATATTTTCGAGATTTCATGTTTTTCAACCTTTTCGGAATTTCTGACAACTTTCTTTAATTTCATCCAATAATATCGAATCAATTTCTTACTTAAAGATCTGTTAAATTTATTGTGGTTTTTGATGTTTTATGAACCTAGTTTTAGTCACGTTAATCCAAAGCTTTTTATCGTTCTGTAAATTCAGCAAATTAATTCGTCAATCAGTCATGCCTCTTGTTGAATATTAATTTTGTGCAAGTTTTTGTAATACTCTAAAAGAATTGAATCTTTATCAAGTTTTATTAATGCATAAATCGTTCCTGCCGTTTTTTAACTACCTAGTACCTATGCACGCAATTACATCTTTACCTTTATAACGCTCTATATATAATTTCTTCAAAGTTCCCCCGATTAAACCCTGAAGTATACGATAATGATGTGTTTGAAATATTATTACTCCAATAACAGTATTTGTACCATCATCCGTCTTGTAAAGTATTTAGTAGTTTTTTGGTATTTTTTGCGTTTTTTTGATACATCAGTTTGATGATTTAGCGTTTACCCTTCTGTTTAATCATACTGTACACTTTGCCCTGTACAAGCGTTATTGATATGGATTTAGATCATTTTTGCTAAAAATCTATAATATTTTGCCGTTTTGTTCTTTGCCCAAAGAATTGATACAAACTTTGTTACATGTTCTTCGTTTCAAATTAACATTGTACAGGGTGCATTCTGATCATGCAATATTTATGCTTTAATAATTTTACATTTTTGCAAAATGTTTTAGTTTTTAATTAGTTTGAATTGTGATCCTTTGTACATAATCCTGACCTTTAAGGGTCGATGGCTTGTGTCAGCACCCTAGATGTGGCATCCACATATTTTTCACCCAACACGAGGGAAATCATTTTTAATTATTTTGAAGATTTTTGAAATGAGGCCAATTTTTCTTAGAACTTGTAAATTATGAGTAGTGTAATGTTTTACAGTACCTTAATCTGTATTTCCGTACAAACATGTACATAATGTGCTTGTCAACTCACCACTGTCAAAATGGCCAGGTGGATGTAAAATTGTATTTATATTCTTATTCAGAAAACTAAGGAAAAAATGGCTCTTCAACCCCAGATGCCCGCTCCTGCCTTTTCAGGTAGTTGAATTATGTTGTGTAAAGAGAATTTTTCAAAAAAAATTAAATCAATTCAGTTATTGTTACGCATCAAATGCAATTAGTAAAACAAAATGTTTCAGAGTTTTCTTATATCTTCGTCTTTGGGGTATAATTTTTTTTTATTTTCGCTAGACTTTACATTAAAGGGACTTTATTGGTTTAAACAATGAATTGGCAAAAACGACTAATTTGCATTAAGATAATTTTTTTTTATTCCCGAATATTACATCACTTATCAGCCAGACTCAACGTGACTGTAATTTCATTTGACTCTTCAATCCATTAAAAGAGTATCATGCCCTTTTCACAACTATTTTCTTTAAAACTTTGTCTTAGAAAATGAAGGCGATTTCAGTGTTTTTCAATCTGAAAATTGTTTTTTTAATTTCGATTTCTTAGTTGAAAGGGCTGTATAGTGCGGATTTTTGCGGAAGCTTTCTCACAGACAATGGGTCAGGGGTGTATATTTTCTCGAAAAATAATTCCCCCCCCCTCCCCCCGCTTTAGAAAAATCATTTGTCTTTACTGAAGTTATAATATATGTTTACGCGGAACGAAAAACATTTTAGGGGGTTTTATTTGTTGAATTTGGGAAAATAATTATTTTTAGGGTTAAATCGATTAATTTTTGTTGAAAACGTATCAAGAGAGAATGAAGAAAGTTGTCTGGTGTCCAATTTACCATTCCCCCCACCCCCCAATCATCAAAAAAAAAATTTCACCGTTTCCATAATTCTGGGTTCATTTTGGATGTATTATAAAGTAAATTGATAAGATAACTACGTCTTTGATAATAGATGCAAGGCCCCCAGGAAGCAGCTGGCCACCAAACAGTTTTGCATTGCACTCTTTTAATGGAAGGTCACAAAATTGTTAACAGTTCCTAATTTTTCTAATCCTATTTAGGAACTGCTGTCGTGAACGGAGAGTTTAAGGAGATTAGTCTGGCTGATTACAAGGAAACTAGTCTTTAATTAAACACCAATTTATTTGCAGTGTCCCGTGTTAACTTATAAAACTGATTAACTTGATTTTAAATTATTTGTTTAATTAAAGCGCCAGGGGATGCGGGGGGGTGGGGTGTCGACAAGTTTCGTAATGAACAGATTTATATATATTTTCTTAAAAAATGCAATCCCCAGATTTTAGTAATTGTTAAAAGGGTTGAATTTAGGGAAAATACCTGATATAAAATAAAAACTTTATATTTTTTCAAGTAAATTGTTAAAAATATTTTCATTTCAATTTTATGATTTTGACTGGTCTGGTGTTTCTCAGGGAAAGTATGTGGTCCTCTTCTTTTATCCTCTGGACTTCACCTTCGTCTGCCCAACTGAAATCATTGCTTTCTCCGACAGGTACAGCAGCTACAGCATAGGAGGTTCAAACAGGAAGATTCAATTTTTTTAATTCTGCAAACCAATAAAAGGAATCCGAAGAAATTGTCATGATCCGTTTATTCGGAGACTTTATTTGGACCTCGCCTATGTTTTTAAAGGAGTAACTCAAATGTGAAAGTTCACCCCCCCCCATGTTTTTTAAAATTGAATGTTCAGTTAAAGATGAGTATCAAATGGTACTCGTTATTTCTTAGTCTCAAATTAGAAAATTTAAAAATTAAAATATTTTAGTTTTCATGTTTTATAGGGTTGAAGAGTTCAAGAAAATTGGATGTGAAGTTATCGCTTGTTCTACTGATTCTCATTTCTCCCATCTTGCCTGGTAAACATGTGTGTGTGTGCGATGTATTCTTTACTGTTATTTCCTCATATTTCAAAATCTTAATTGCTTAATTTTCATGCTTAAAGCCAGTTGGACTAACAAACTTTGACATGTGTCATTAAAGAAGAAAAAACCTCGATTAAAAAATAATTTTTATACGTTTTGCTGCGTAACTTTCAAAAACAAAGGTTTTAGAAATTTAAAGTCCCTTTTTTCAATGATTCCTCCTCCGAGTGAAGCATTAACCAATAAAAACTAACCTTCCTTAGTAATCTCAGTGAGTCTTAACCCTTTCAAGACACGAAGTTTGTGCTCAAACATAAAATTTATTTTATGCTTTGAGTTTGAAATGTAAAAAAAGATCAAAATCCGGGACTATGGGAATCCTTAAAATCCACATTCAAGATTTGGAGAAATTTAGGTTACCGTCCTGATTTCACAGAAACTTGAAAGTTCAATATGATCGCATACGACTATTCTAAAACGATAAAGTTATTTAAAATTATTGTTAAAATCTTGTTAATTTTCCAATTGTGGATTCCATACTCGTCAGATTGAGTATGAGCAAGTTCAGTTCATTTAAATAAATTTTTCATATTTTTACAATTCAAAACCATTCATTATTTCTATTATCTATTCGGCCTAGACTGAAATTTATTTATTCTACAGGTGTGAGAAATCCAGGAAGGCTGGAGGACTGGGTGATATGAATATTCCTCTTCTAGCGGACAAATCTATGTCCATCAGCAGATCTTATGGAGTCCTTAAGGTAATAATGGACCAATTATGTTGTAAACTTTGATTATCTTGAGTATAGCATCTTAGTTGGTCGTGGTTTTTTTGCTGGCAATGCTTCAAAAATGTCTCCTTAAGAAATTGTAGATATTTTTCTTTTTATGTTTCTATGCGTTCTCAATTTAATTTAAATCCCATCTGGAATCAAATTGTAGAACATTTTCCTTTTTTATTTTACTTTATATATGTCATAGGAGGATGAGGGTCTAAGCTTCCGTGGACTCTTCGTTATTGATGGAAAAGGAATCCTTCGTCAGATAACCATTAATGATCTTCCAGTCGGTAGAGATGTCGACGAAACTCTCAGGTTTTAACATTTTTCATTTATGAGGGAGGAAATATAACATTTTTAAGTATGATACAAAAGGGTCTTTTCTCCTAAGCTTCAATTTTCTTAACTGTATTTCTTTTGCTTAGTATTAAATTTTCTTTAAATTTACTTAAGACTGGTTCAAGCATTCAAGTTTACTGATCAGCACGGAGAGGTTTGCCCAGCCGGCTGGAGACCAGGTTAACATATTAATACAGGGGGAGCCATAAATTATGAGACCACAGGATAGCTTTTATTTGCTTTTTTTTCTATAATTGTTAACTGTAGCGGTAATTTACATCTTTATAAATAAAAGGTATTTGCTTGAAACAAATCTCAGATATTTATGTTTTGCGTTTAAGGATGTTTTTTTCTTAGCTTTGAAGGTCTTAAAATCAAGACTATGGGCCAATTTCTTCGACGTTCTACCATAGTTTGAACCATAGTCACACTATGGTTACGCTTTACCAGAGCAGTATAGATAGAAGGGTGTTGCAAGAGACAATAAAATTTCAATTTTGATTGAGCGGTAAAGGTTATGTTTGGTTGAGCGGTAAAGGTTATGTTTGATTGAGCGGTAAAGGTTATGTTTGATTGAGCGGTAAAGGTTATGTTTGATTGAGCGGTAAAGGTTATGTTTGGTTGAGCGGTAAAGGTTATGTTTGGTTACATTTCTAATACATTTTTATCTAGGCAAGGCAACCATGAAGGCTGACCCTAAGGGCAGCAAGTCATACTTCGAGGCTGAAAACTCGAACTAAGATGAAAGCTGCAGAATAAAATCATGGTTATCAATGACATGTTGTCCACTGTTGCTGATTCAGTTGAAATTGTTCAAAATGATTTTTATGTTTTTAGAACCTCAAATCCAGTTATTTCCCAGTTTTAATAAAAAATTAAGAATCAAATGTGAATTGTTCATACCTTAAATAGTTAAAAAAATAAAAATTTCTTTCTTATTAATGTTTGATTCTAAGGTTTTGGCAATGGTACTGTTCAGTAATTTTAAACTTAAAATGTTTCTTTCCATCGATCATTCTCTTTCCTCGTTTTTCTATTTTTTCACTGTTCTTATATTTCTAACATATCATATTTGTTTCCAGGGTTATATTTTTTCAGAAAACAAATATTATATCCCATCCCCATTCCCCATGTACGAAATTTGTCTCCCCAGATGTAAGGTATGTTAGCAGGGAATAAGAATAAAGGGAAGGGTAATAGCGCTGGTCTGCCATGAGAAAGCCAGTCGCACTGCTTTGCAAACGAGTTCGTTATCACACACGCACACTCTTTTGGACAGACACACATTGTACAGACACACATGACTAAGGTCAAGGAAATTGCAAAACAATGTCTTCAATATTAATTAGCTTGAAAAACGAGTGGTTTATGGTGAACTTTTATCAAATTATTTCTTTGCATTAAAATTTGGCTTACAGTGTTGCCTTAAATAAATAAATAATGTAATGTATTTTGAACTTGTTTTTAAGTAAACAATTGACAATAAACAAATGTTTTCTCTTTGACTGTACAAATTCCGAAATTCTTGGACATTTGCCATTTTCTGTTGTGCGCAAATGCCCCGTAAAATTCCAAAACAGAGGGGGGATTGAATTTTGTAGATAAAGGAAAAAAAAAAAATCTGTGGGATGTCTGCGTAGAGACTGGCAGCTGGTGAGGTCTTAAATTTAAGACATGTGGCCGAAGCGCTCGGCCCCGTAGCCTGTCCTAGCCGCAGCGCTCGGCCCCCCTAGTCTGTCCTAGCCGCAGCGCTCGGCCCCCCTAGCCTGTCCTAGCCGCAGCGCTCGGCCCAGAAAGTGTCTTTACCTAACCTAACCCTAAATAAATACTAATTTAATAATCTTACTGGATCTACAAAATTCAATCCCCCTTTCGCTGTTTTGGAATTTTATGGGGCATTTGGGCACAACAGAAAATGGCAAATCATGCAATAACATTCCTTGTATAAAATTCAGGGGGAATTTAATTATATCCCCCCTCTCGAAAATATCGTGAGCCACTCTGGGAATTCTTTTTGGTTTACATAACGAAGGATTCATTTTTCTTCATACTAACAATTCCGGAGCCCGAAATTTAAAAGAGTATAGTTGAACGAAACTCCCGGGTTTCCTTTTTGGGGTCTTAAAATTTGTGTAGATTTTTATTTAAGAGATTCGAAAAAATGGTAAAATATGAAGAAACTAAATAAAATAATATTTCATAACAAAAATATCGATATCCACAAAACTGGGTAAACCCATTCGTGAAACCCGGGTTCCAAAACTGGTTTTCAGAATGATACCCTGTCTTAAGTTTTTGGCTCGGGTGTCGTATTGTTTGCACAACTCTTATGTACTGTATATACCTAAAGTACACGCCTTCGGTTCGGTATTATACACACTCTTTTGGTACAGCCACTCATACTCCTCATGCATGACGTTTCCGCCCCCTGTACGTTAGGGTTTAATAGCACAGTATCAGCTTTCTATATTGTAATCTTTCTCAGATGGAAGAGTTTCTCACAAAATTTTAAGAAGATACAGGATGTAAAATATTAGAAATTAAAAAATCGAAATTTTTCAAATTTTTTCTGAATTGAGGTCATATGAATCTTTCAGGCAAGTAGAAGATTAATTTCTATTTTTCTTGATTTGTTTCCTCATTGAGTATGATTTATGAGTTTTAAGCATTTTGAATGTATCTAATCAAAATGGGCAGTAAGCTTTTCTAAAATTTGCTATAGACTATGTATTGAAAAATCTCAACGGAGAATAAAGTCGTTCAACAAAAAGACTTGAGAATTAAGCCATTTAACAAAAGGTTTAGAGAATAAAGTTACGACAAAAGAACCTCGGCATATAGCTATAAAACAAAAGGATTTAAAAATATATAAAAGGACTTTAAAAAATTTATAAAAAATAAGTCTTGAGCCACCTAACCCTAAATACTAATTTAATTGAAAATTGTTGAAAGAGTGGGCATGTACAAAAGTAAAATCTGCAGTGAAGTCTTCCCCACCTCGCACACTCGAAGGTTGGAGTTCATTCAGCGTCTGCCTCCACAATACAGCACAGCTTTTTTTAAATCTTGGTGTTTATGTGTACAGTGTCATGGAAAATTTTAACAATTTTTTTTGACGTAGTGGGATAAGAATTTTACTAAAGATTAGAGTTATTTTTTATTGTCATTATTAGAAACATAAATGGACTCAAAAAGTCGTTTATAAGATTTATACTAAAACATTTCTTACGCAGAAAGTAAGATATTTGGAGAAAAATTTCTTGAGTAAACTTAGTTTATTTTCTTGTAATCTTTGATTTAAACAATATTTTTTTTATAAAATGTAAATAAATAATACAAATTTTCTAGATTAAATTTGAACTACAAAAAAAGAAATCTCTTCAATCAAAGATTATAAAAGATGAAATGAAATTCACTTCAAATTTATTTTCTTTAAATATTTTCCTTTTATTAAAAAAGTGATTAAAGTTTTATACCTCTTTATTAGTAATAATAAATCACTATTTCAGTTGGTGAACTCTAACACTCTAGGAACCGAGCATAAGGCTTAATGCTCGGTTTCTGCCTTATAAAACCAAGAATTACCCTATCTAGGGATCTGGGTGTTTTCTAGTCCTAGAAACCATTAATTTTGAGATTCCTTTTTATAGAGATCGCTCAGTAATGCTTGTTCTCTTCTCTTTTACTACTTTTTTATTTATAATTTTATTTATGTCTGCAGTTAATTGTTATCATTTTTCATCGATTAAATCAAAAAAAAATTTTACATCGCAGACATACATGGTGTCATATGAAAACTTTTCATTATAAATAATTGAGAGCACATTTTTTTCTTTTTTTCTTAGTAATTTCATAACTTTTTCATCATAAATAGAGAGGGGGGGAGGAAACATTTTACGACAATATGAGAAGGTTCCCACCTTATAAAACTTTATTCTGTAGAAATTTTCTTTCATCAAATAATCAAATTTGTTACCCTAAAAGAAAATGTAAGGCAAAAACGATATTTGGGTTTTTAAAACGATAGGTTTTTTTACTTTATATTTTCACCTAGAATTACGAATTTGCATGTTTGTTAAATGCAAACTTCTACAGAATACAATTTTAAATCTTAAACTTAGATTTTCGTAAACCTTTTAAAAATCTTAAAATTATTAACAGTTTCTGTTAAACTGATCTAGCCCATCGCTAGTCGTAGGTATAGGATGGATCGTTTTCATTTTTTTTAACGATCGTTTCATTATGAAAACGACGACGAAAAAAACGAAAAGATCGTTTTTGAAAAAGCTCGTTTTTAAAAGGAAATCGTTTGGGTCGTTGATAAAACGATAGTTTTAAAAAAAAAATTTTTAAATTTAGTCGTTTTGTCAACGATTGTTAACGACAAACCTTTGTTAACAATTGTTAACGACGACCCTTCGTTAACGACGACTCTTCGTTAACGATGACCCTTTGTTAACGATCGTTAACGATGAGATAAAGAGAGAGGAAACCGACCTAAAGGGCATCGGTACTTATCAATGAGAAGTTTTAAAGAAAATGTCAAGAAGTTTTAGCTCCCCCACAACTTTTTCCTGCATACAACGACAACCCTTCTTTAACGACGAATCTTGTTTAACGAACGTTAGCAACGAATCTTTGTTAACGATCGTTTTGTAAAAAAATCGTATAAAAACAGTCGCTGATCGTTTTCTAAAATGATTGTTGTTTGTTTTCTAAAAGTTCAAAACTAGTGGGTTGTTATCAAAAACGATCGTTATTTTCCAAAAACGAAACAATTGTTTTTAAAACGATTGAAATACGATTAACAACCCTAGACTCGTAGGACACTGATTTTGTAATGTCTGTTTAAATGTGCAAACTAAAATGTGTCCATTTCTCGGTTTTGAAGAAATTCAAGTTAAAGTGCGCGCCGGACGAAAATAATTACATACATTATTTAAAATAAACAAATTAGATCCCTTATTTGAGCGGACATTAAAAAATCAGCGTCCTACGACTAGCGATGGGCAATAGATAGATAGACAAAAACTTTTAATATTTTTAAACTTTCGTTAATCTAAGAATATTACGATTTAAAATTGTATCGTGTAGAAGTTTGCTTTTTGCAAACATGCAAATTCGTAATCCCAGATGAAAATATAAGCTAAAAAAGAGGCGCAGCTAGGGGGGGGGCGGTCGGGAGCCCCCCCCCCATAGCACCAAAAGAGTTGTTGTAGAAATTGTATTCTTTGATGGTTAGGTTTTAAAAAAATATTTTTATCTTTCTGAATTATCAGTTAACGTAAAAAAGGTCCGAACTGTATTCAAACTTTGAATTATTTTGGTAAAACATTCTAAGTTTCAATTATCAAAGGTTTACGCCACTCGGTGCAAAGTTTTAGGGATTAGAATATATCAGTTTGTGGAAAAAACTCAATTCCAAATCTAGAGAACATTCTAAGACTAATCGAAAATGAAATAAAATTATAAATGTTGGTTAGAATGATCCATCATAAATTCAATAACTTCAGGAGAAAATGTAACATTATGTCCTTTTTCAATATAGATGATTAAAATTATATATGTATTTTGATGGGGTTTTTTCAGAATATATAAATGATTATTTCTTGTAATCATATCTGTATTTAAACAATGTACTAAAAAAATTTTCTTTAGCGTTCCGCGAACACATTAAAAGAATTGATGGACTCATATCGTTAATTTTTTAGTTGTTGTAAGTATAAATTTTTAAAAAACACAAGAAAAACTATTTGAATTGAATACAGCCAAATCTGCATGCAACAACACATAATTTCCTTTTTTTTCGACATCAAATTTTAAAAAAAAAACACTTATTTTGAAAAAAAAATTTCTAAAGGGGGGGCAATTCCCACCTAACCCCCCCCCCCCCCTAGCAAAAGTGCTAGTTGAACCTCTGAGGAAAAAAACTATCGTTCTAAAAACCCAAATATCGTTTTTTCCGTATATTTTCCTCTAGGGTAATAAATTTGCTTATTTGATAAAAGAAAATTTCTACAGAATAAAGTTTTAAAAGGTTGGAAGTAATGAAGAAGTTATGAAATTACTAAGAAAAAAAAGAAAAAAAGTGCTTTCAATTATTTATAATACAAAGTTTTCATCAGACACCATGTATGTCTGCTGTTATGCGATGTAAAAAAGTTTTTTGATTTAATCGATGAAAAAAGATAACAATTAAATGCAGACAGAAATAAAATCATAAATAAAAAAGTAGAGAAAGAAAAAAGTCTTACAACCGGCATAACAGAGCGATCTCTATAACAAGAAATCTCAAAACTAATGGTTTCTAGCCCTAGGACTAGAAAACACCCGGATCGGGTAATGCTCGGTTTTATAAGGCAGAAACCGAGCATTAAGCCTAATGCTTGTTTTCTATAAGGCAGAAAACTAGCATTATAAGCCTTTTGCTCGTTTTCTTTAAGGCAGATGACGAGCAAAAGAAATTTCTCTCGCTTCTTATAAGGCAGAAAACAATCAACAAGCTTTTTGCTCGGTTTCTACAAGACAGAAACCGCCCCAACCCCCTTTTGCTCGCTTTTAAGGGCGAGAAAGTGAAGTTCCCCAAATGATAAAGGAAATTTAAATAAAACATTGTGTCGTCATTAGGATTTATATTAATGGGTCAAATTGAAAAGTCAGGAAGGAATGGTTCAATGTAATTCTTTAGAAATGTCTGTATATAATATATTTAACATTTCCCTTTAAAGTGATAATATGTTCCAAGTCCTTTATGTTTGCATACAAATATCCCAAGTCATTTTTACATATATGCAATAATCCAACACCTTGTGTATCTTTATTGAAGCAATAAATAAGAATTCTATTTATACCTTTTTAAGGACAGGCTTTTGTTCTCAGTCCTTATTTATATTCCAGCTAGCAGCCTTTTTATGGTTAAGGTTTTTCCCAAGAGGGAAGAAACCCCCAGACGCCATGAGCCTCTGCTATGCAGACACGAGCCTCCCAGATTTGCTAGGCAGACCGAGCCTCTGCCAGGCAGACCAAGCCTCCGCTTTACAGTAAAGGAGCCTTTGCTATACATGCAGTAAAGAATTTATTGTATTTTTTTCGGAAAAGTTGCATAATAAGTTTTTCAAAGATCAGAAGTATTATTCAATTATTGTAAATAGTGAATAAGTATGACTAGTAAAGTGGTTTTAAAAAATTGAAACATTTTTTACGTAAAAAGAGAAAAAATTAAGAAAGTAATTTTATTTGATATTTTATAATCTTTAATTTAAGCAATACCTTTTTAAAATTTTTATCAGATCAAGTAATCAAGAGGGCTAGGGAACTGGATGCCATAAGCCTCCCAGCAGACCGACCCTCCGCCATGCAGTAAGAGCCTCTGCTATGCAGTAAGTGGACCATTAACAGAGGTCAATATGGTCTTATTTATAAGAAATAAACGGCTTGATTTCAAATGTTTGCATTCCCCCTTGCAGTATACAACAAAATGGCGAGTTTAAACTTTATTTATTAAAATATAGCAAGCTCACACATATTCTCTACTCTGTGACGTCGTATAAAGAGATATAAATAGAATTTTATGGCTTAAATTAGTATTTGAAAGTACAAATATTTTGCAAGAAGGCAAAACAGGCGTGGGTCGGAAGCCAGAACCATTTTGTTCCATCATTTATGGATAATGGGCAAAGCCCATAGAAAATAGAATATATATTAGAGGGGAATTTAGAAAATCCCTCGGTATGAATTTTTTCAGTCCCTTTAAGCCTGAAAGGGAGTTCAAAGTGTACAAATCATGTAAATGTTCACAAATTATATGCAGTAGAGTACATTAATACAGTATGTTCCCTGGACTATCCATTTCAATTTCGAATTTTTTTAAAGCTGCTAAATAAACTTTATAAAATGAATTTGGAGAGTAAAAACATCATTTGATTTATAGTTATGACTGAAAATCATTGTTTGTAAAGTAAAAAGCATAGAGTCTATGTGAAATTATCATTGGTTAATTATGAAACCAGCTTATTTCATAATTTGGTGTTCTTCTAATATTAATTTTAAAATTTCTATAAAATGATGTTCCAGGGCCCAAAAGGTTATACAGCACAGATATGTGAAGTACACCTTAAGTATGGAAATAGTACAACAAAATGGCCGTTTTACACTTTTTTCTAGTAAATTCCCCTCTAATATATATTCTATTCTCTTTGGCAAAACCTCCCTAGTCTATCTAAACTGTACTTTCTATTTACTTCATCAGAGGCCGAAATTTAAAAGAGTATCGTTGAACAAAACTCCCGAGTTTCCTTTTTGGGGTCTTTACATTTGTGTAGATTTTGATTTAAGATATTCGAAAAAAATGGAGAATATAAAAAAACTGAAGAAATAATATGTCATTACAAAAATATTGATAATCACAAAAGTGCCTAACCCCATTCGTGAAACCCGGGTTTTAAAACTGGTTTTACTAACAATACTCTGTCTTAAGTTTTAGGCTCAGAGTTCATTGTGTGCAGTACATTGCATACTAAATTACTAAATGTACATTTCTTGTACGCTTGCTTGCAGTACAATGTTTATTTTAACCAGTTTAAATTATATATTAATTGTGGCGAACGTATCTACTTGATGTTAAAATATATTTGAGTGATGAAAATGAAGTAAAAAATATATGATATTTTATCTCCATAAGTAAGGCACAGATTATTTTTCTATTATATTGCTGTACGAGCTGTACAGCTTGTTTCCTGATTTGACAGTAGTTTTTAACATTTTTTTTTAAATTGTTGGTGAATTTTCGAATGACCTATCCCTTGTTTTGCTACATAAAATTTTCAACTTTTCAATTTTTTTTACGGATTTAATTTTTTTTGGGGGGGGGGGGAATTAAGAATACAAGTCAGCCAACGCTTAAGATTATATTCCAAGTGTAACAATATTAATTAATTCTTAAACACAATTATCATAAACTTATAAACCAAGTAACTATTTTTTTAAACTCCACTTAACATTTTTATAAAATAAAAAATTAACAAATTGTGAAACAAATTTTAACATTCTTAAATGAAAGTCGCTTTTGATAATTCTAATTTCAGAGTGTTAGCTCATTTAAAGTGGCGGGTGTAAGGGCTGTATCAGTTTACAGGTGTAAAATTTAATTATTTTACAAGCATATTACATCTTCAAGTGGGACATAAAGATTACTACGTAATGATTTACGCACCCCCCCCCTCAAATACTTACTTCTGAGAGAAACAATTAAAAATTGTGTGTGAGTCTGTGGTCAAATAAAATAAATAATTTAGAATTTCATTGCATACAATTAAAATTGACACTAAACGATATTTTTTCGGCGGGTAATGTAATGTATTACAAATTATTCTTAATTTTTTTAAAATTTAACTACAGATAGCTAAAATTTATTTATTAAAAAGTCATTTAAAAATTAATACAATGACAGTGTCACATGAAATCATATGTCACATGTTAATACTTGTCAAAAGTAAAAAAGAATTTTTTTTTTTACATTTTTCAGACGTTATTTTTTACCTTTTTAAATACCTCTTTAGCACCCTAACCATTCAATTTATAGGTCTATTTTTTAACGAGCTGGCCGTGAAAAGTTAGACTTGAGACAATCCCTTATCTCCCCCCCCCCCACCAATGAAAATTAGACAAAAATAGCATAATCATAGTCATGAAAATAAATTACCTAATGTATTCTTTACTGAACTTTGAAAAGTAAAAACTTTTTTATTTTATCTCTTGTATTCAGAGGAATTAAGAAGTCTGCTTCACTGGCAGATTTAAACAGGTAAGCTAAGTGTTGAGCGAATTGCCTTATTTTTAATGAATTTTGTTGAATGACAACTCATAAAGGGTGTCTCAATTAATAAAACTTAATGTGTCAACTCTTAAATTGTTTTCAATAACTGTGTCTTTTTAATGAACTAATATATTTTAGTAATCAATTAACTTAAAGGGGAAGGGGAATACCTGATTTACTAAGGTACCCTTTAAACCTCTGACTGAACATCCATGGTAATTAGAACTTGGCGTGTTTATCTCTATCAATATTAATATTTCTTAAATATAAGAGCTTGTAAATAAAGTTATAAACAATTACAAGCGTTTACATCCTTGATCATTAAAGGTTTAAAGGCTAGTGTTGTGAATCGCGCATCAGGAGTCGACAAGGGGACAGTTCCTTCAAACTTAGTTTTGGATTTCTATGATGTTTTCCTTTTTTGCTCTGAGAAATGAAAAATCCCATAGTTATTTAAAGAAAGGATGGTATAAAATATCTTTGTACATAATTACACTCTGGGTCAGGCATTAAGTATGAAAAATTAGTCATGATTTTCAATTAGTTTGATTTTAATTTTTAAAACTCATGTTTGTTGGAAAACCCTGTTTATTTTGAGAAGAGAGGATCCTGAGCACAACAACAACACAACACCAACCAACAGGAATACTATTGAGCACACCAAGATAAGAATACGATACCGTGAGATGCCAGGAAATAGGTAAACTTTTCTAGTCAGGATTATATAAAAGTTCGATGATAGGTTCGTTTTTTTGACTTTTGAAAGGTTCCACAGAAATCTGAGAAGTTTCTCAAATTTCAAAAACTATGCCAAATTTAAACCCTAGAAAAGAGACATACAAAACCCTACCAAATCATTTTTTTGTTGGTTACTTTTTACACTTTTACTTAGGGTACGAATTTTGCATAGTTTTAATAAAAGCAAACTTTTTTCAGTTTTGAAACATTTTGTAATTTTATGTTGTCCTCGAATCTGAAATCTAAATAATTAACTCAGTTAATTCTGAAAAAAACATCAAAAAACTCTTTGAAAATTTTCCGTCCAAGCCGTTAATAAAATTTAAAACGTTAACTAACGGTTATTTAAAATAAAAGGTAAATGCCGTTAACAAACAGACTCGCTGCTTGAAATTTTACTTTTTTAATGGTTAACAGAACGACTAGTAAAAGTTGGAACATGCCAAGCCCTACGAGAGAACTAATAACTAATCTGTTCTCTACCACAGAACTAACAACTAATCTGTTCTCTACCACAGAACTAACAACTAATCTGTTCTCTACCACAGAACTAATAACTAATCTGTTCTCTACCAGAGAACTAATAATTAATCTGTTCTCTACCACAGAACTAATTTCCAATCTGCAGTCTCTACAAGAGGACTAACCACTAATCTGTTTTCTATCAGAGAACTAATAACTAACCTGTTTTCTACAAAGAGAACTAATTACCAATTTGTTTTCTACAAGAGAACTAATTACCCATATGTTCTCTACAGAAGAACTAATTACCCAATCTTTTTTCTTCGAGAGAACTAATTACCAATTTGTTTTCTACAAGAGAACTACTTACCAATCTGTTCTTTGCAAGAGAACTAATTACCAATAAGTTTTCTAAAAGAGAACTAATTACTAATCTGTTTTATACAAGAGAACTAATTACCAATCTGTTTTATACAAGAGAACTAATTACCAATGTGGTCTCTACAAGAGAACTAATTACTAATCTGTTTTCTACCAGAGAACTAATTTCCAATCTGGTCTCTACAAGTGAACTAATTACTAATCTGTTTTCTATAAGAGAACTAATTACCAATGTGGTCTCTACAAGAGAACTAATTACTAATCTGTTTTATACAAGAGAACTAATTACCAATGTGGTCTCTACAAGAGAACTAATTACTAATCTGTTCTCTAAAAGAGAACTAATTAACCAATTTGTGTGGTCTCTACAAGAGAACTAATTACTAATCTGTTTTATACAAGAGAACTAATTACCAATGTGGTCTCTACAAGAGAACTAATTACTAATCTGTTCTCTAAAAGAGAACTAATTAACCAATGTGTTTTCTACAAGAGAACTAATTACCAATCTGTTTTCTACAAAAGAACTAATTACCAATCTGTTTTCTACAAGAGAACTAATTACCAATGTGGTCTCTACAAGAGAACTAATTACCAATCTGTTTTCTACAAGAGAACTAATTACCAATCTGTTTTCTACCAGAGAACTAATTACCAATCTGTTTTCTACCAGAGAACTAATTTCCAATCTGTTTTCTACCAGAGATCTAATTACCAATCTGTTTTCTACAAGAGAACTAATTACCAATCTGTTTTCTACCAGAGAACTAATTACCAATCTGTTTTCTACAAGAAAACTAATTTCCAATCTGTTTTCTACAGAAGAACTAATTACCAATCTGTTTTCTACCAGAGAACTAATTACCAATCTGTTTTTTACCAGAGAACGGAGAATATCTCAGACTGCGTCCACCCCAATTATTGAAGTAACAGAGGACTCATCAAATGAAACTTCTAATTCAGCCGAGAACCTTCCAGACATTAAAGTAGTAAGGATTATTGAATTTTTTTAAAGCAACCGATGGCAATCATTTATTTCTTCAAAATAATGCCGTTACAGTCACATTTTTCTTTCCAAATTTTCAATTTTCTAAAGGGTTATGGTCCAGAACATTTCTGATATTTTAATAGTTTTATTTGCCTGCAATTTATATTTTAAAGATATTTCTGTTCTAATACAGCAATGTTTAGACCGAATATTCCTCGTTACTGTCTCGGGCTGAAGTAAAGAGATATGGAAGTAGGCAACCTGCTCGAGAGTACAATAGTGGGGAGGAGGAGGATTCATCAGGTAATAGAGATTTAAAGGGAGTGTATGCGTATTCTGCGTTGCAGTCTTACCTTTACCTAGGGAAAGAATGTTAAGCTAAGCTCCATCGAAATAATTAAAGCATTACTGCATAAACAACCGTCTTTACTGTACAATTGTAGATAAAAACAAATTTCTTTCGTTTCTTGTCGTCTATTTATATAAGGCATACAAGTTAAAGAGGTTTTTGAGGGTTTTCCCCCATATGTTTTAAAACTATTGACTGAAGAGATGCCTAATTTCAAGTGACCCTCCATGCAAAGATGGCAATGTCCGATTCACAGCTGCACCCTTGAAACCTTTATCTGATCAATAATGTGAAATACACTGTCGTTTTACTAGTTGGTAAACGAGTTTAATTCTGCTAATTTTCCCAATGTTCCTGAAGGCTAAAGCAAAAACTGCTTAATTGTCACTTTTGTAGAGAAACTACAAATTAAAGTTATCGTTTTTCAAAAACCAGAAAACATAATTCATCAGACAAAGTCTTTAAGGATACCGTTGTGAATCAGACTTGACACTCTTTCAATTGAAGATTAATTAAAATCACAATCTTTTAAACATTCTCTCTAATTCTTAAATTTTTAAGTTGTATTATTTTATTATATATCGGAAATTCTGGCACATATTGATAAATTAAAAAGTTGTGATAGGACTAAATTGTCTTCCTAATTCCAAACAGAAGGCCATGATTTCCAATCAGCTGTTACTAGATTCTGATAGTGGAAAATATTCAGCAAGTGATGAACTTAGTTCTAACTCCAGCAGTACAGGAACATCTGTTATGACAGGAAGGTGAGGACCTACACTGTAAAATTCTATTTTTGATTTCAACCCGGAAAACAGTGTATTTTCACTCATGAAAGATTTACTCTATGGCATATTAAAACAATAGCTTATCACAATAGTTCGTTATGCAATAAACAATTTTAACGATTTAATTTGACCAAGGTGTTGGCTGTTCAAAAGGGCTGTAATCTTAAACTCAAGTGGTCCCCATGTGAAGATGGCAATGCCCGATTCACAACGGCACCCTTAAAAGTCTAGTCTGATCAAGTATTTGTTGTTTTTATAGAAAATTGGCTCCCGCATTTCAACTGCAGGAAAACATAATATGTATAAATTATGACAGTTAACCACTTTTAAACCAGAAAAACGGCATGCCTTCCACATTATTGACTGCAGAGAACGGTGTCAAGGGTAATGTTGTAAATCTTTTCATAGAGGCCGAAGGGTCACTTGAAATTACGCTTACAATCCCTTTGAGTGGAGACGCTAGGCTAAGACTGATAAATTGGATTTGCGACTGCCGATCAGCATCATGAGCCAGGCCCGTAACCAGGATTTTCCCAGGGGGGGGGGGGCAAAGAGGGGTGTTGTTTTATAGGCCTAGGAGCACCGAGTGAAACGCAGTGAAGGAGGGAGGGGATGCAGGGGGGCAGAATTTTAGAATTTTGGTATGAAATCGACTAATTTTAGCTTGAATTTTATGTTATGAAAATTAAGTTTTACCTGAATTTTATGTTGTATGATATGGCACAAGGAAAATTTTCTTATTTTTAGTTTTTAGTTTAAATTTTACAATATTGGACACCAGAAAATTTTGATATTACTAATCATATTCACTGATTTTGTATAATAAATTGTCTAAAAAATTTAAAGATATTCAAGCCCAATTTAGCAAAGAAAGAAAAATGTGTGTTCCACACATATATTTCGTCCGGTAATTTTGTTTTCTTATTTTACTCCTAAATAGCAACATTTAGGTGTAGTGCGCTGGAACTTTTAGGATCAACAACTAAAAATTGACATTGTTTCAGTATGGAACATAACAATTGGTTTTAATTTTGCTTGATGGTTTGTGAAACAAAGATTTGCATGAATTGGTTTATGCCTACTGTACCTGTAAAAGATGGTCTTGTCCAAAGAAAAAAAAATGGATAAAATAGTTTAAACCATTCTAAACAACATGACGTGGCTCAAAATTCGAAATAATAACTTAAAGTACTTTAAAAAAGATTGTAAACAATGCCGGACGAAAAAAGGTGCGATCCGAAGAAATAATGGTAAGTTGTGACGTATTTTGTGGTCAAACGAATGTGTGCCTTCCCTCCCTCCAAATACAGCATACAAGATGATAACAAAGTTGAATGCTAATATCTTAATTTTTCAAGAGAAGATTATACCAAAGAACTTATCTAAAAAAGGGGGGTGCAAATTCGTCATTGCACCCCCTTTTAGGAGGAAGGGGGGTGCACCTGTCCGTTTGCATCTCCCCCCCCCCTGGTTACGGGCCTGTCCTGAGCAGAGTATATGCCAACAGGAGGACTAAGTGAATCATTTTTTCAAGGGAGGGTGGGGGTGTAGTGTTTATAACAAAGGTCAAGCTAAAGATTGGGATCAATTCTGACAGCACATATCTGAATTTGTAAATAATATGACGAATGAGTTACAACCATCTCTGCAATAGCTAAATCTAAAATCACAATTCGAAACCTAAAATATAAAATTATATGGTTTAAGTTGCTTGTAAAAGATTAGGATTTTTTGAAGTAAGATTTTTGATTGTTAGGAAGTCGTTTGATTTTTAACTCCTGATTTTTGTTCAGGCAAGTGTTGATCTTCTGTATTACAATAGTTTCTACATTCTCATCTGCATTTACTGTCTGTTTGTTTCCTCCATTCTTCCCAGCTATTGCTGAAAGCAAAGGAGTCTCTGCTTCAGGATATGGTCTAATCATTGGTGAGAGCCTTAAAGGAACTTAAGACGTAATTTCACGTGACACTACTGATACAGTGGCATGTCTGATTCACATGTACGATCAAGGAAGAATGTTATATTATCCTTTCCTTGGGAATTTTTATTCTTCAAATTGTAGTTTCTTTGTATAAATGTTGTGGATTTATGCTTAATGATTAAAAGTTGTTAGAATTCAACACGTTTTGAGATAGAAAAACGACAATATTATGATCATTGCTGCTCAGTTAAATGTTTGCAGGGTGAGGTTGTGAATCGGACATGCCACTCTATACAAGGGCTTTTGAAATTACGTAGCCAATACTTTCAATGTTATATTTAGACCTTTCATATGTTGTTTATTCAATTGTCCTTTTATTTTTATTTAGGTACAAATTGTCTAACTGCCTTCATAATTACTCCAATAGTTGGAAATAACCTAAACTTGATTGGAGTCAAGTTTGCTTATTGCTCCGGACTTTTTGTAGGTAAAAATATAATTTTGTTTATAAATGTCTTTGGATTAAATATTTTCATGTTAATTATGGTTTAAATTGTATGGAAAAATGGAATGAAGAGATTGTTTAGTTTTTTTTCTCAAATATATTAAATATATAATTATTGTTTTTAAACAATTCCGCTGAAATCTCATCTTTCCATAGATGTTTTTAACCACTAGAATTGCACTTTTTTATAGAAATTCTTTTGTCTTTGTATGTAAATTGTTCACACGACTTTTGGATTTTTCTCCTGTTCATCTTTAATAAAAAATGGCCGTTTCCACAGTATTAGAAGAAGAGAAAAATTTAAAAATTAAAAATACAAATATCATTAATGGATTAACTTCCGCCCCCAAATCTGTACCTAGGGAGGGAACCCCCCGGACGCCATGAGCATCTGCTATGCAGACATCGAGCCTCCCAGATTCGCTAGGCAGACCGAGCCTCCTCTATGCAGACAAAGCTTACGCTATGCAGACCGTGCCTCCGCTATGCAGTAAACGAGTCTCCACCAGACAGCACAGCTTTTTTAAAATCTTGGTTTTATGAGTGCTGAAAACTTTTAACAATTTTTTTTTGACGTAGACTAGTGGCATAAGAATTTTACTAAAGATTAGAGTTGTTTATGATTGTCATGATTAGAAACATATATGGACTCATAAAGTGGTTTATAAGATTTATATTAAAACTTTAAACATTTCTTACGCAGAAAGGAAGATATTTGGAGAAATATTTCTGGAGTAAACTTGGTTTGTTTTGTTGTAATATTTGATTTAAAAAATATCTTTTCTGGAAAATGTTAAGATTTAAATAATAAATACAAATTTTTTAGATTTAACTTGAACTTCAAAAAAAAGGTATTGCTTAAATCAAAGATTATAAAAGATGAAATAAAATTCAATTCGAATTTTTTCTAAATATTTTCCTTTTTGTGTAAAAAATGTTTAAAGTTTTAGATACCACTTTATTAGTCATAATTAGGCACTATTTATGATAATTAATAAATACTTCTCATCTTTGAGAAGCCTCTCATGCCACTATGTCTAAAAATTTTAAAAAAATCTTTTATTTAAACTTAAAACACAAGTTTAAAAAAACCTTCTGTATTACACAGGCACATTTTGATGTGTTGCGCATGCTCATTTCTGCAAAGCGGAGGCTTGGTTTTCCTAGCAACTCTGGGAGGCTCGTGTCTGCATAGTGGAGGCTTATGGCGTCCGGGGGTTCCCTCCCTCCTGTACCTAGTAGGAAAGAATAATGCATTCTTTGAGCTAAATATTTTTTGATTATTTATCTCTACCTTGGAACCTAACTTTAGTCAAAAATACAAATTTTACTAATAAACATAAGTGGGTCGTCTTCTTTTATGATATAGTGTTAACTTACGTTTTAATATTTTACCGCAAACATCGTCTTTTCTTAATTCTGGTTTCGAAAGCAAATACTGCCAGAACTGATTTTCTCAATCGTATTTTGTTAAATAATCAGCCAATAGGAATATTGAACATACTTAACAAAATTAATCAACATTATTTTTTCAATTGGATGAACCATCATACATTATTATATGGTGTTTGGTATTTGAAAATGAATATTATACTATTTTAAGGATTCATTTTTTTGAATTTCGAATAGTCTTTTAACTCAAAATCTGAAAATTGATTTTCTTAAAGGAAATGTCGACGTAGATTCAAGTAACTCTACATTAAAAGAGAGGTATATCAGATTTACGACGTTACCCTTTAGACCTTTTTCTCAGCAAAAAAAAAGAATATTATCCTCGTTTTTCTTTGTAAAAATTGTGGAGTATATAAAATACGTTCTTTTTTCTACTACTCTTAAATCCGCGAGTAACTAGTATTAATTGTTCAATGAGAAAACGGGAATTCTTTATTTTGCCGAGACGACGGTTTATAAATCAGGTGTGCCTCTCAATTTTACGTCTACAGTCCCTTTAAACGAGGCGTTATACCAACCGGGTCAAAAATTTTTCCTGCACAATTGTTAATATCCATGTGCGTTCTAAAAAAAACTCTGTTCAAATTCAGGCGGAGTTTGTTGTGCTCTTGCTGGAATGCTCGAGTTTTTTCATCCTGGACCTTATTTTGTAGCCATTGCAGTCCTCATTAGGGAAATTGGGATATTAAAGCATGAAAACTGGTAGTTTTTCCTGGTTCTTGACAGAAAAGTGAATGCCTAACACCTGTCAGGCAAAGTTCTTTTAACGAAATGAGTTTTTAACGAATGAAAAAAGTTCTAATGTCAATTTTGGAATTCAAGACCAACAACCTTTCCTTCATTTCGGAGTCCCTTAGGCCTAATTCAAACTGTTGCTCTCTTTGTTAATTTTTAATTGTCCCAAGTTTCTAGAATTGTTCATGCTGTGAGCAATGCTTTTGTTATAACCTCTTCTTTCACGTATACTGCATGTGAGTTCCCAACTGCAGTGGCGAAGGAATTGCTTTAAAACAAATTTTTGTTTAACTGTAACAAACTGGAAAACGTTTTGTGAATCATTTTCCAGATACTATTTGCATATTTTTTGTAAGATTAGAGCTTTTTACAGGTTCTTATTTTCATTTAGAACACGAACGTTCACAAAAAAGAGCACGGCTAAAAAGAATCTGAATGTTGCGAAAATAACTGTTTCAAAGACTTGAATTTCTTAAATTTATTTTGATAGATTTAAGTCACTTTTAAACAATGGTTTTCAGATATTTTCCTTGACTCGAACCGCCATGAATGTTGCTCAGCTGGGCGGACCCTGGCTTGGTGGTATGTTGTATGAACTTGGAGGGTTCTACATGCCATTTCTAGTAATGGGTATTGTTCAGGTTATATACATGAATTGTTTAGAGGCTTGAACTATTGGATCTTAACCTGAACATTCATGATTTCTATGTTTCCTTCCTCTTTTACTTTGACAGTTCAGCCTTATATAACTGACACCTCTTTTAATTCTTTCCAATGTCAACGTTGTCCAACAATGGACATCTAGCTTCCTGAGGCATTGAACCCAGTGATGTAAAAGTGTACACGGTGGATGTCGTATTCACTCGCTGACACTCAGCAAAAGCTTTTTTATTTATTTTCTAGCTTTTTAAAGTTTTATTTGTTATAATTTCTATTTTTAATTTTTAGATAGGGATTGCATTCATCTCAATGTTTATAATGCCAATTCCTGACACTGAAGATGATGATGATGACGATGACCTTTCTCCACAAAGAAAAAAGAAAAACAAGGTTTACTACACCTATCTTGCACTACTTTTTTTACATTTTAATGTAATGCTTCTTTGTCTTCAGGATGCAGAGACAAATTAATAATCAATAAAAGTATCTGTAGTTAGAAGCACAATATCGGATGATTTTGAGAATAGTTGTTTTCAGGTTTCTGTGTTTAAGATGTTAACCATTCCAACCATATGGTTTAGTTTCCTAGCTTTTATTGTGGCCACTGTCTGTAACGGATTCCTCTCTGTCAACCTAGAACCTCAGGTTAACATTTTGTTTTTATGGATTACCCCTACCCCTGCTGAGGTACTTGAAAACGAGAATTCCCTGGGTGTGAGGGGGGGGGGGGGTCCCCCTCTAAACCCATGCATGGTTGATGTCTAAATATGACAAATTATTCATCATTGGAATGCTCAACTTTTAGAATCTGCAAAAAAAATCGCAAATCCAGTTAAATAGTAAAAATTTTTGCCAAAAAAAGTTCAAAAATGATAAAATATAAATTTTTGAAATGTCCTTGACCATGTCATTTTAAATATGCAAAAAATTTAGCAACTGGTTTCAATTGAGCGGCGACTTAAATCTTGAAACATTGAATACAATTTTAAATGGAACCAACTATATTTGAGCCGCGTCTCAACTTGAAGCCGCGGCTCTAATTCTTTAAATTCGGCCTCAGATGTCTAATTAAGAAAAACTAAAAATGTGCAAATTTCTTTTGACGAGTTTATGCACATAATTTGCTAAAACTTCTTTGCAAAATTTGCGCAATCCGTTTCCTTATATATGTCATACGCTTTTTAAAAAGCTAAATGATCAAATCTGACAGCTAAAAGTGGGTCAAAACAAAGATTTAGTTTGTTACAGGAACAATTAGTCATTCAGGCCGTGTGCATGAGGACNGGGCTATGGGTATTTAGGAAAAGTATTTCAACTGCCTCAGAGCAATACTTATTGAGTTATGTAAAAAAATTACAGGGGGGTCAATCCCCCCCCCCTCAGCAGGAATAGGGTTGAAGGGATTTTTTACTCATTTTACAAATAAAAAATACTGCAATAAGTTCTTCTTAAAGTGACTTTAAACGTGATTTCAAGTGACCATTCACGCCCGATGCACAATAGTACTCTTACAATTGAATTTTACTTGTGTGATCAAGAAAGAGAAACCATTAAGAAACCATGGAGAAATTATCAAAATTTATCAAAACGTTTTAAGGGTTTACCCTCTTTAATTGTAGGTTCACTTAAATTTTCGACGACAAAAAAATACTGCAATAAGTTCTTCTTAAAGTGACTTTAAACGTGATTTCAAGTGACCATTCACGTCCGATGCACAATAGTACTCTTACAATTGAATTTTACTTGTGTGATCAAGTAAGAGAAACCATTCAGAAACCATGGAGAAATTATCAAAATTTTACACTTTTCAAACCATAAAAACAACGTTTTAAGGGTTTACCCTCTTTAATTGTAGGTTCACTTAAATTTTCGACGACATTCTCTGTAATTCTGTTCTATATCTGATAAGTTATAACCAGAGCCCGAAATTTAAAAGAGTATCACTAAACGTATCTCCCGAATTTCCTTATTGGGGTCTTAACATTTGCGTAGATTTTGATTTTATAGATTAATAAACTGGAGAATATGAAGAAACTAAATAAAATTATATTTCATAACAAAAATATTGATATCCACAAAACTGCCGTACTCCATTCGCGAAAGCCGGGTTTCAAAACTGGTTTTCATAACGATACCCTGTCTTAAGTTTTGGGCTCAGGTGGTTTAATTCCGCACACAGTTTGTGGCTCCAGAATTAATAATTGCATCTAATTAGTTCAGTGAAACAAGTTCTAAATTTTCAAATATCTTTTATTTAGATAATCCGTCAGTTTAATTTATCTCCCTCTAATGTTGGTTTGATGTATGGATTACGAGATGGTGCTAACAGTTTAGCTAGTCCTATATGGGGATACCTTTGTGATAGGGTAAGTCAGGCGTCTGACATTTGTTTGTCCTAAAACTTTTCGTCCTACAACTATTTGTTCTAAAATCATTTGTCCTTTAATTATCAGTCCTACAATCATTTGTCCTTCAAATATCAGTCATACAATCATTTGTCCTTCAATTATCAGTCCTTTTCAATTGCACTTGTTCTTCAATTATCAGTCCTACAATCAATTGTTCTTCATTTATCAGTCCTTCACAATCGCTTGTCCTTCAATTATCAGTCATACTATCAATTATCCTTTATTTATCAATACTTTGCTATCATTTGTCCTTCAATTATCAGTCCTTTTCAATTGCACTTGTCCTTCCATTATCATTCCTTTTCAATTGCACTTGTCCTTCAATTATCAGTCCTTTTCAATTTCACCTGTCTTTCAATTATCAGTTCTCTCATCAATTATCCTTTATTTATCAATACTTTACAATCATTTGTCCTTCAATTGTCAGTCTTTTTCAATTGCACCTGTCCTTTAATTATCAGTCCTCTAATCCATTATCCTTTATCAGTACTTTACAATCAACTATCTTTCAATTACTGTCCTTGATTATCATGTGTCCATCAATTACAAATCTTACAATAATTTGTTCCGTTTGTTAACAATATCGATTTTTTTTAGCCTCCCCCCATGAGTGTCAACAAAAAATTTTAGCCCATTCGGTCAAACCGTTTGGCCGGCCAGAGGGAACAAATATTCGAATGTCTTGTTTGATATATTCTATAACTATTTGTCCTATCGTTCTTTTTAGTAAAAAAGTAAGTCTTGTCATACAACTACTTTCTCGTAAATTTTACTTAAATAGTTATGTCATATGTATAATCTATGTTATCTGAAGTGGGTGATCTAGTTACTACAAACACATTTTGATTTTTTAGAAGAAATCTGTAAAGCCCTACCTTATTCTCAGTGCTCTTTTAGTTGCACTTTCATTCTTCCTAATGAAGGTAATTTTTTTAAATAATATGAAATTCCTTTTGGAATGCAATTTTACATGCTAACATCATAGACATTCTGGGAGGAAGCGGAAGTTATGAGCATTAATTTTAGAGGTGCCACAGTTGAAGATAAGAACGACTCATTGAGAAGTTTTTAGGGAGGGGAGGCCATGCAAGCCATGAACCCCGCAATATCCTGTTCGAACCCAAGTAGTAAGCAGAACTCTGTTCAAACCCGCCTAAGACTGTTCTTGTTCAACCTTTTTTTTTAAATTGTATAGATCTAATAAACATTATTTAAAATTTTAAAAATCTAAACATCCGGGAGCAGAAGAGATAATTAATAATCATTGGAATTTTTTCGAATTCATCTACAGATAGTCTATTTCAAGAGTTTTGTCTTGGCACAGTGGAGGTACACAAAGTACCAAGGAATAATCGGTATTGACTACATTTATATGCCAAGATATTACTTATTACCTCTTTATCACGACGTCAGCTCATTCAAAGAAATTATTAAATCTAGCAAGACAAAATTTTACACTGAAAAAAGTTTTAAAGCATTGATTTTTATCTTAAAGCTAAGAGAATAATGTTATCTATTCTCGCATGTTTAAATTTTTTCTGTTTTTCTTTTTAAAGTCATTTATCATTAAAAATTATTTTTTTAACAGTCTTTAGGAACAAAAAATTCCAAATTACGCCCCTCCCTGAATCTGTCATGGGGGGCGAATGTCCCCCGCCCCCTGTATCCGCCCCTGCGAACAGCTGGTTCCGCGGGGTTCGAACAGGGTTCTGCTAACTACCTGGGTTTGAACAGGATATTGCGGGGTTCATGGCCGCATGGCCCCCCCTCCCTGATCAAAATTTCTTTAGGTAAAAGTTGTTATTTCAT